GCCGCTTGCTGGCCTCGATGCACACAGCCACCCACCCCAACACCTCCGAGCGGACCTGCGGGACCTTGTGCTTCGCGGCTGCGCTGATGTCTGCTCATGCGAACATGGACGACGGGAACATGGACCATGGGTGAAGACAGGGGAATGGGTATGAATACGGCCGCGGACCAGTGGATGTGGGTATGAACACGGTCAAGTCCATTAGCTTACCCTCGAGTGCATCCGTTAGCGCCAAGCACCCTGAGACATAGAACGCCTTGTTCGTGTCTCGGATGGCCTGCACCACACTCGGCTTCTTCTCCTTGTACCTCTCCTGCTCAAGACAAGGCGTGAGACACGCGGGAGAGGTCAGAACAGAAATTTTACAGGAGCAAGGAACCCTGAAGCCTCCAAATGAGAGCGTGAGAGCATGACTTACCAGTAAGGCTGGCAGCATGAGGCGTGCTCCAGACGAGAAGTCCTTCCGTAGGCCCTTGGCCAGGTTGCCAGCTGCCTGAATGGCCTCCGTGGCAACAGCAATGTTCACATCCGCAGTCAGCTGCGGGATGAGAATCGAATACAGATAGGACAGAACACAGTGTCAGTAAAGTCGCACAGCAAAGCAGCTCCTGGTAGGAACCACATGTGGAAGTTGACAGCACAGGAACTACCTTCTTCAAGCTCCGCTGAATATCCAGAAAGTCTCCTGGCGCAATGCGGATGGTGCTCGCCAGTTTGGTCAGCTCTGCTATGGCATCGCGCCTCTCTGACCACTTGGTAGCTTTCTGTCAAACGCACAGAGAGAAGTAACGCAATGTTACGGCAGAGCAGAGAGAGTAGACAAATTTAAGCAGGTCCAAGCCACGAGTGAGTCACAACGTCAGCGTAGATGGAGGGGGTCGCTCACAATGCCATCGTAGAAGGTCGTCTTGGATAGTGGCGTCAGGATGTCGACAGGGTCCGCCAGGTCATAGTCGTCAATCACAGGAGGAGCTGTCACCGCACACAGCAGCCAACATCAGAATCATGAACATACAGCTACAGAACGTACTGGAAACATGCCACTACGTTTCATTTGGCGAATTTTAGAAGGAGCAACGCCTTACCCTCAGGCTCTGCGGCCTTGGAGTCGTCAGCTGGGGCATCCAGCACCTCTGGCTCCTCAATCTCCTTCATCTGCTCCGAACGAATCCGCCTCGTCGGAACAGCGCGACCTTCGATCTGCTCGAATTCCGCCTCGAGCTCCGCTTTCTGCTCGAAACAAGCAGATTGAGGACAGTCAGGAAAACCTTCAACTCAGAATGAAACCGCTGCGAAGTTTGCAAACCCTGATACATCCAGCGCGTACGCACCGTGGCGTCACGGAGCCCTTCAAACAGCAAGCGCTTGACGGTGTCCTTCCCCAGCCAGCGGCAAAGCTCGACAGTGAGGCCCTTGGCGCACTGTCGCACTCCCTGGTCTGCGTGGTTGAACAGGCCGGGAAGCATCTTGAAAATACGCTTCGGAGGAACCACGGCAGTGCCGAATTGGCTGCACAGAGAATAAGGAAACCAAGTCAGCCGAAGTTTGATCATTGAAGGAGTAAATACCGACGTTAGTTCTGTCCTGGTGTCGCGAGCGCTGCAGTTACGCCGCGAGCACTGGAAAACCGACGGGAGCGGTAGGTTTACCTTAGGGCTTGGTACATGGCGTCGATGGCTGGCACTACGGCCTTGGCGACTTTGTGCTTCACCGCTTTCTCCATACAGTCCTGCACATGGTCGCCAGGTTCACGTCAGGTTCAGGATCAGACACATCGCGACGCTGACCGTTAGTTGACGGCCACCAGGAATATGTTTCTGCTCACCAAGAAAACCTCGACGGCCTCGAGCTCGACCCATAATAGAAACGAGGTCTGTGCCCTCTCAACTGTCTTAGGTCGACCAGTAAGGCACTTCGTAGCCGTAGCATCGCAAATCTCCTTGGCGTACCTAATCCAGAAAGAAAGTAATGTGTTAGGCAAGAGCTGATAAGAGATTTCACTGGAAATAAAGTCGTTGATTCTCACCTCGCAACATCAGCATCTGCTGCCAACTGAAATGCTATTAACGCATCTAAAGCCTTTTCTTGTGCAGGAGCGTTTGCATCAGATACTGCTTTCTTCAACAAAGCACCTGAAAAACGAAAGAACGACATCAGACCTACGCTCGGCTGTCTCACGGCAATAAACGAGACGGTAGTGGACGTTGATACGAACCAAATTCTCTGAGCTTGGGGTCTTTGGGATCCTTAATCTTGTTGCAACTGTCGGCGATATCCAAATACAGCTCATTCCTAACCTTCCAGTTCTTGTGAGCTAATCTATCTTCTAACGGGAGCTTCTTCGCCTCCTGCAGGACCTTCTCTTCTTCTGAAGCCATGTCTCTCCTAGAAGCGGAACGGTTCTACGCGGAAACAAGAATCGACAGTAGCCCAAGGAGCAATCACCGACGCCTATGGCTTACGAACTAGATGACTATTGCGTAGCTGCTCTAGAAGACAAGTCACTACTTCTCATACTACACAAAACTGCATCCAGGAGCTAACCTTACCAACAGGAGGGCAATCCCAAGGATGTGATGTGACTGACTGGAGCTCAACTTGATTTCTGTTCTGCAGTTGAATCTGCCTAGTGGGGTGACAACCGATGGTCGTGCGGGCTGGAGAGGAGGTGATGTCCCGCATTTTCACAGCCATGCTCGTCATGATCGAGGTGGTGAAGTGACAACAACGAATGGAAGTGTTTCCTTCGGTTCAGGCGATTCGCAATTGGGGGTCTTCTCCTCGAGGAAGACCTCCTCCCGCCACCCGAAGTCAGAGTGCGACCCAAGGTTGGGCCAGTGTGTCAGAGGGCGATGCGTGGCTGGAGGTGGACTAAGGTGCAGCTCAACCGAGGTTCCAAAGGCAATATAAATTTATTCATCATAATGTGTATGCCAAAATTACCTCATCAACGGGGTGGACTAATCTGTTGCACACATTCCGCTTTTTCTCTCCAACTGTTCGTATTGCCCATCGCTCTGCATTGTGCCTGAGCGAATTCCCCTTCCCCCATCCGAACTCGCCGATACTCCCCGTCCATTAGCCTCACTGCCCTCCTGTCTCGTTCCCTATCGCCCCTCGCAGTTCACCTGCCTGTTCGACCCATCGGCGGACTTCCACACGTACACGCTCATCTACTCGCCGCGCTTCATCGTGTGGAGGATCAACAACACGCCCATCCACGTCACGCTCAACCAGCCCGGCAAACCCTTCCCCTCCTCGCCCGAGCAAGTCAGGGTGCGTTCCCTCCCCTACACCCACCTATCTACTTCCAGTCCACCCCCCTCTCTGGCCTTGCTACTGGCAGAGCAGTATCTTTCCCTTTTGCTTGCCCTCCCTCTCCATCCCCCTCCATAATGCGAACCCATCCCCATATCAACTCTCCCCTTGCATTGCTTCCCAAACCCATCCCCCAACCAGGCGTCCATCTGGGACGCGTTGAGCTAGAGCCCCTTGAAGCCCAACAGGGCCAACGCCAACGGCAATGTGACGGCAAAAATCCGCGACTTTGACTTCAACATGGCGTGTGCGGTGCCGCCCACTGGCAAGCGCCCCGCATGCGCAGATGAGAAGAACCGGTGCAAGGCGTCTTGGCTCCTCAACCTGCCGCCCAGACAAATTCAGAACCTCAAGAATTTTAGGAGAAGTCATGCGAAGGCGTCTTCTGTCCGGGAGGTGATTCAATAAAAGTGTGTGATGGTTTGCTGGCTGATTGCAACACACATAGGAGCCCATAACCAGTCTCCTATAGGCTAGCTGTCGAAATAGGTCGTGAGGTTGCTAGAAGGTAGCTAGGTGGGACGCCATGAAAATGGCGAGAGGTTTAGCTAGGGGGCGAGAGTTACGAGAGGGAGGAGAAGTTGGCGAGAGAAAAGGGAGGTGGATTAGAAGAGAAGGAGATACAAGAAGGGGGGGTTGTCCCCTCTACAGTAGGATTCAGTAAGTAGCACAACTACCAAGCCTACACAAAGATATATATAAATATATACTTCGTCACACCCCCTAGGCTTGGTAGTGACAAGCCCATCCCACCCGCAGCACCCCTACATCCTTGCGCCCCCATTCCTTGCAGTAGCAGTGGCGTTGACCAGCCGGTCGAACCCTCGGCAAGCGAGGAGGCGACATCGACAGTGAGAGCAGAGGCTACAACGGCGGCGACAGCGGCAGCGACGACAGCGGCGGCGGCGGCGGCATGCGGCGGCGTGGCCAGCGGCACTAGCTGCGGCGGCGGCGGCTTCGTCGTCAGCTGCCGGCGGCGGCGGAGCTCGCAGCACTCGGCGGCGTGGCCGGGCTCCGCGACGGTGGGACGGCCGGCGCGAGTCAGCCATCGGCTGCGGTGAGGAAGAGGAGACACAGGGGAAGGGGGGGGGCTTCAGCAGCGGAGCCCGGGAGTGTGCCGCCCCGTGTGGCGCGCTGGCTGCATGCGGGCGTGCTGGCCAGCGCTAAGACGGGGCGCTGGCCGCTGTCGTCCGTGCCGTCCGCGCGCTGGCAGCACGTCGCCACGCCAGCATGACATGGCCGTGGGGCGGCACGAAAAGGACAAGAGCGAGGAGCGTAATGTGCGGAAGCGTGATGAGCAGGCCCGAGCTGCCGGACCTGCTCTGAAACCATGTCAAACCCCCCCCCCCCCCCCCCCCCCTTTTTTCCTTTTTTTTTTTCCGAGAGAGAAGAGTGGTTGGACTAGAAGAGAAGGAGATACAAGAAGGGGGGTTGTACCCTCTACTGTCAAAATAGCTAGCTAGGAAGAGGCGCCATGAATGGCGAGAGGTTTAGGTGCTAGGAAAAATATCGAGAGAGAATAGAGGTGAGATTAGAAGAGAGAGGGATACAAGAAGGGGGGTTGTACACTCTACTGTAGAATCTAGTAACACCTACCAAGCCTACCTTTATATATATATATATATCAAATATATAATTTAACACACCCCCTAGGCTTTGTTATGAATGAACAAGCAGAGTAGCACGGAAATGAATAAGGAGATGTTCACTCACTTAATGACGATACAAGGAATGGCAAGCCAAGATATAGGAACACCAGAGCTAGTCTAACCATGCGATGGGAAGGTTCGGGAAAGAGATCGAAGGGTCTCGAAGTGACGAAGTGAGGCCCGGAGAACTCCCGAAGGTCGAACTAGAAGGTCTGGAGAAGCCGAGGCGGTTCTGTCAGAAAGGTCTGGAACAGTCCCGAGGCTTCGGGTGTGTTCGAGCGTACGCGCTAGCTGTACCGCTCGGTAAGGAATGGAAAATTCCTTACACCACCCCCCCCCTTAGCGAAGGTGATCTATATCAGCCACGTGCTTGCGGTCCAAATAATTCGCAAGTATCGAAGGTGGCTGTATCTGGTCCGAGGGCACCCACGTGTCGTCCTCACTGGTACGATTGGTCCATCGTATCAGAAAGTCAACGTGTCGTCCTTGACCGTCGATACGAATCCGATGGCTCAAGATCTTCGAAGGCTCGATGGTCGTCTCGGCTGGTGGCCGTACATCTGGGACCAATCGCTGTCGGGCGATGTCTGATGTGTCGGGCACGAAAGGCCGCAACAGGCTCACGTGGAACTTGTTGTGAATACGCCAATCATCAGGTAGGCGCAACTGGGCGGTCACCGGCGTCACCATCTTCATGATCTTGAATGGGCCACTGAAACATGGTCGTAATTTCGTCGGTAGTGGTAGTCGTAAATTCTTGGTGTCCAAAAGGACTAGTTGCCCTGTTGTCATTGTAATATCCCGTCGATGTAGATCCGCATACCGTCGGGCAGTTGCGTTCGCCTTGTGAATAAGTTCGACAGCTTTGTCTCGGGCAATCTGTAATTCTTCGACGAACTGCTGCGATCGTGGTACTTGACTCTCAACGTTGGTGGAGACTGGTACTGTAGGGTCCATCCCGTAATTGAGATAAAACGGGGAGTGATTAGTCGTAGCCGAGGGCGCGTTGTTGTAGGAAAATTCCAACATGGGTAGCACGTCCTCCCATTTTTTCCAGTCGGGGCGGTTTGTCCGAATCAGCTGCTCCATCGTTTGATTCGTCCTTTCAGTCTGACCGTCCGTTTGGGGATGATACGCGGATGAAAACTGCAGACGCGTGCCGTACCGAGCCCACGTGTCCTGCCAGAATTTCGACGTGAACTTCGGGTCTCGATCGCTAATGATCGCTGCTGGTATCCCGTGTAGACAAACAACGTTCGAGATGAAGAGGCGCGCGGTTTCTTCGGCTGTGATGGTTGTACGACATGGTGCGAAATGCGCCATTTTCGTCAATCGGTCGACGACAACCAAAACTGTGTCGTTTTCGCTGGGTTCGGCCGGTAGTCCCGTAACGAAATCCATCGTTACGTGTTGCCATGGGCGCTGAGGGGGCTCGAGGGGCTGCAACAGTCCTGTAGGTCGCTGGTGTGATGACTTCATTCGTTGGCAGATCGGACACGCGGCCACGTAACGCTGCACGTCCGTCACCATATCTGGCCAGTAATAAAACTGCTGCAACGCCTTCAGAGTTTTATCAACCCCGAAATGTCCCGATAAATTCGAATCATGGACTTCTTGAATTAGTAATTCGCGAAGTAGACGATAACTTGGGACCCAAATTCCATCTGTTCCGCTTCGTAAGTAATAGACGCCTTTCCGTGTAGTGATTGGGAGATGGCCGTCGTTTACGAAGAAGGGATCAGTCGAATACCCGTGGGTGAATAGTCCACTCAGTAGCGGGTTGTTCTGGGCGACTAGTACTGCTGCGACTTGGGCAGATGGTCTGGAGAGGGCGTCGGCAATATGGTTGGCGCCTTTTTGGACGTGATCTTGTACGTGAAGTTCGACTCCAGATAGTCCAGCCAGCGTATCTGCCGCGGGTTGAGATTCGGCTGCGCTCTCAGGTATTGTAGGGATTTGTGATCGGTTCGCACTGTCACGTCTGCTCCAGCCAGGTAGCACCTCCATATTTTGAACGCGTGGACAATCGCCAGCATCTCCTTGTCGTGTACCGGGTAATTGCGCTCAGCAGATTGCATTTTCCGAGACTCGTACGCGATTGGTTGAAGACCATTGCCGAAAGCTTGCATGACCACTGCTCCGATGGCGATGTCACTTGCGTCGGTGATGACTTCGAAGGGCCGTTCCGGGTCAGCGATGCGAAGTACCGGTGGCGACATTAAAAGATTTTTTAATGCCTCGAACGCAGCTTGCTGCTTCTCTCCCCACTCGTAAAAAGTCCCCTTCTGCAGTAGGTCGGTTAGAGGTCCAGTTAACCCCGCCATGTTGGGTATAAACCGCCGCACGTAATTCACGAAACCCAGAAATGATTGCAGCTGCTGCAGATTTGTTGGTAGTTTCCATTCCTGAATAGCCCGGAGTTTTTTCGGGTCTATCCGAATCCCCTCCGTGGAGATCACGTGCCCCAGGAACTCCAATTCTTGTTTTAAAAACTCGCACTTGGAGCCCTTGGTGATGAGACGACGCTGCTGCAACCGCTGAAAAACCGCTTCCAAATCTTTTAAATGTTGCTCCCGGGTCTTGCTGTAGATCAGGATGTCGTCCAGTTAAATTATCACGCATTTGTCGAGGAGATCGCGGAACACCCCGTTCATGATGAGTTGGAACGTCGAGGGGGCGTTCGTTAATCCAAACGGCATCACCGTGTATTCGTAACTCCCGTAGCGGGTACGAAACGCGGTCTTGTGGTAGTCGTCAGCGAACACCCGAATTTGATGGTAACCGCCGCGAAGGTCAATCTTTGAAAAATAGCGAGCTCCTCGAAGGTTGTCGATCAGTTTGTCCGTGCGTGGGATTGGGTAGCTCGATTTTATTGTTACATGATTAAGGGCTCAATTATCAGTACACATGCGAAGTCCGCCGTCCTTTTTGGGGGTGAACAGGATCGGTGCTGCGAACGGGGACGTGCTCAGCCGAATGAACCCTTTCGCCAGCAGGTAGTCCAGCTGGTTGCGTAATTCCTGTAGCTCCGGCTGAGTCAGGCGCCATTGCGTGCGTACGGTAGGCTGCGCACCGTGCTCCAACTTGATTTTGTGGTCCTGGGGTCGTTCGGGTGGCAGTCCACTTGGTAAGTCGTCCGGGAAAATCTCAGGATATTCCCGAATGATTTTCGCCAAGTCATCCGGAACCTAAGCGCAGAGTTTGTTGATGTCGGTCGCCTCATTCTGCTCCGTCGATTCGGTTAGATGGACGGCGTATAAATCCGCTCCATTCTTGACCGCTCGCTTGAGGCACACCGCGTTGACTCGTGTCGACGTTGTCTCTGCTTCCGGCCACGTGGGTAATTTTCGCCAGCCTTTGTCGCACTTCACTGCGCGCTCGCCTGTTGTCCAATCGATCTGCGGATTGAATCTTCGCAGCCAATCACGTCCCAATAGCACGTCGTAGACGTCGAGCGTTGTCGCCAGCATCGGTACGCTGAAACCAAAATCTTCGCCACACTTCATTCGAACGACGGGTACTTTGTCGCGTATCGCCAGCAGGGTGCCGTCCACCAATCGTCGTGCAGACGATTTTGCGCAGACACCTCTCCAGCGTCAGGTGTAGTCGTCGTGCTGTCTCTCGATTTATCAGGCTGTGACTCGCACCTCCGTCGACGAATATTTTTATTTTCCTTCCGTTGAGTCGTCCCTCCGCCAGTACAGGGTGGTCCACTGGGTCATCCCCCTTATTCAGCCGGGAGCGGTTGATAGCATGTATCGGAACCACTACTCGGTGGGGATGGTGTTTTTCGGGCGATGAGGCAGGGTCGATAGTGGGCCCGTCCGCTACTGACGCTTGGCATTTCCCGACCCGCCTTCGTCGTTCTTCTTTATCTGCTTCTTTCGGGGGCAATCGTGAGATTGGTGACCCGACTGGTGGCAGTTGAAACATTGTCCCTTGCAAAAGTCTTCCGTGTGCTCCTTCGCCACTACGCCGTAAATCGTGGGCCGTGGATTCTGGCCACGAAAACGATTTCCCTCCCGGGAACCCGCTCTCGCATACGTCCGATTTGTGTCGAAGTTGTCTGCGATCCAGACTGCTTCGTGAAACGTCGCCGGTAGTCGCAGTCGGACCTCGCATTTAATGTCCTGCTTCGAGCCCGAAATGAATCGGGCTTTCTTCTCGGAGTCATGCATGTCGGTGATTTGATCGCATAACGGCATGAAGACCGACGCGTAATCCTGGACAGAACTCCACTGGCGCCAGTTGTCCAGCTTCGTGCGTGCGTTGTCCGAGGCGGATATTGGCTCGAACCGTTCACGCAGAGCTGTACCCCACGCCTTCCACGTGCGAATCTTGGTCGATCCAAAAATCACGGTTGAGCCTTGGGCAGCAGACCCAAAGTTTCCGAAAAAACCCCTGTGTGTCGCCTGCCGAAAACTCCCCCTCCTGTAGAGTATATCGCCACCAATCTAGCGCAGGGCCCCGCAGTAGTGATACAGCCAGTCGAATTTTTAAGTCGTCAGCAGTGATCCCAGCGGCATTAAAATAAAGTTCCGCCGAAAATAACCAGCCCGTAACAGTAGTATTCTTATCTGTGGGGTTGAACGGGGGCGGCATTGTCAGTTTGATCACCGCTGTCGTCACCATCGGCATAAACACCGGTGCGGCTACAGTAGCAGCTACTTCTGACCGAGCGGCTGCTGCTGTCGCTGCTGCTGCTGCTGCTGCTGCTTCGGGTGCTGCTCGTGCGGCCACGACAGCTGCTACGGCGGCTTCACTGTCCTTGCGCTCCTGTGACACCTCACGTGCGATTTCGTCCAAGACGGTTTCGACACGTCCGGTGCTGGCGACCTCCTCTTGGGCGGCGGATTTCTGACTCGGCAACTTCCGCACGAAGTTGCTCGTTGTCCTCCAACACTGTAGCCATGCGTGTGTTCATGGCGTTGAACTGCTCCCGAAGCTCGTTGAACTGAGCTTGGTCCATTTGGCAAATGCTCCGCCGGGGCAGGGGGAAATCCGTAATGTGCCTATACTCAGGTAAGCGCAAACGCTATCGTAGTTGGGCGAATTAATCAGTCTAATTCGCGAGCAACCGCTTTGCAGCTTACGTGAGGGACTTACCCCCCCCAAAATAAAATCAACTCACGAAAATGGGTGAGCGAGGAAAGTGGCTCTGAATACCAGGTGTTATGAATGAACAAGCAGAGTAGCGCGGAAATGAATAATGAGATGTTCACTCACTGAATAACGATACAAGGAATGGCAAGTCAAGATATAGGAACACCAGAGCTAGTCTAACCATGCGATGGGAAGGTTCGGAAAAGAGATCGAAGGGTCTCGAAGTGACGAAGTGAGGCCCGGAGAACTCCCGAAGGTCGAACTAGAAGGTCTGGAGAAGCCGAGGCGGTTCTGTCAGAAAGGTCTGGAACAGTCCCGAGGCTTCGGGTGTGTTCGAGCGTACGCGCTAGCAGTACCGCTCGGTAAGGAATGGAAAATTCCTTACAGGCTTGGTAGCTGAAAGCCCAACACGCACACAGCACACTAAGCCACACACCCCCTAAGCCTAGCACCCCCAAACTTAGCAGTAGCGGCAGGAACTTCAGTAGGGTCAGCCCCTCGGCGCGTGAGGCGGCAACGCCGACAGCGAGGGCAGCGGCTGCAACGGCGACGACGGCAGCACCGTCGACAGCGGCGGCGGCGGCGGCGTGCGGCGGATGGCCAGCGGCACCAGCTGCGGCGGCGGCGGCTTCGACGACAGCTGCCGGCGGCGGCAGAGCTCGCAGCACTTGGCTCCGTGGCCCGGCTCCGCGACGGTGGGACGGCCGGTGCGAGTCAGCCGTCGGCTGCGGCGAGGAGAGGGGACGCAGGGGAAGGGGGCGGGTCTTCAGCAGCGGAGCCTGGGAGCGTGCCGCCCCGTGTGGCGCACTAGCTGCATGCGAGCGTGCTAGCCAGCGCTAAGACGGGGCGCTGGCCGTTGCCGTCCGTGCCATATGAGCGCTGGCAGCACGCTGCCACGACAGCACGACGGCGCTGTCACGCCGCCACGGCTTGACGTCGACGCCACGACAGCGCGACGCTACGGCAGCGCGTCGAGACGGCCGCGGCAACACAACGCGGCCGGCGACACGATGACGCCGCCACAGCAACACGACGTGGCCGCCATGGTAGCGAGAGAGAGAGTGAGTGAGAGAGAGAGAGAGAGAGAGAGAGAGAGAGAGAGAGAGAGAGAGAGAGAGAGAGAGAGAGAAAGAGAGAGAGAGAGGAGGAGGAGTGCGCGGCGGAAGCGTGATAAGCAGGCCCAGGAAGAGCAACGTGCTCTGATACCATGTCAAAATAGCTAGCTAGGAAGAGGCGCCATGGATAGCGAGAGGTTTAGGTGCTAGGAAAAATATCGAAAAAGAAGAGATGTGAGATTAGAAGAGAGAGGGATACAGGAAGAGGGGTTGTACCCTCTATAGTAGAATCCAGTGACACATACCAAGCCTACCATTATATATATCAAATATGTAATTAAATATCTACAGTAGAATCCAGTAACACCTACCATTATTTTTTTATATATATATATATATTAAATATAAACTGGTTGAACCTGCTCTGTTACCATGTCGAAATAGGTCGTAAGGTTGCTAGAATGTAGCTAGGTGGGACCCCATGAAAATGGCGAGAGATTTACGATAGGGAGGAGAAGTTGGCGAGAGAAAAGGGAGGTGGACTAGAAGAGAAGGAGATACAAGAAGGGAGGGGTTGTCCCCTCTACAGTAGGATTCAGTAAGTAGCACAACTACCAAGCCTTTACAAAGATATATTTAAATATATACTTCGACACTAGCTTGGCGTTAAATTTGGGATGAGGTTGTCGTGGCAGTGGGATAACCCTGTCGATGATAAATTATATATGTTAGTATATAATTGTAGGCTTGGTAGACGTTATTGAACATTACTGTAGAGGGTACAATACCCCTCCTTGTATCCCTCTCTCTTCTTTTCTAAGCTCTCTTTTCTCTTGACACTCTTGCCTACCTCCTAGCTAAACCCCGCCGCCATTCTCATGGCGGCCTTTCTTAACTCATAGTCTAGCATTTTGACATGGTTTTAGAGCAGGACGCCCTTCACGGGCGTGCTCTCCACGCTTCCACTGCGTACCCGTCCTTACTTGGCCGCCGTCGCGGCCTTCTGTTTGCCTGCCGCCGTGGCACATTTTCCGAGATGTCGCGGCGGCCTCTGTGTGCTGTCGTCTCAGCGTCGACGAGCAGCCGCGGCTCCGATGCCACGCTGTGGTGGCGTCGTAGTGGTGCCATGGTGGTGTCGTTGGCCTGTTGCCGTCGCGCACCACCTGCGTCGCTGCTGGAATTGCAGCCCGCCCGCACTCCAGTAAGCGCCGCGTCAGCAATGGCGCCGCGCTGAAGATCCGAAGCCCCGCCCCTACCCCCTTCCCTCTGTCTCCTCCTCTTCGCCACAGCCGCCGCCTGACTCTCGCCGGTCGTCCCCCTGTCGCGGAATTTGGACACGCCGCCGAAAGGGCGGGGGCCGCTGCCGTTACCGCAATTGTAAGCCGAAGCCGTCGCCGCTGTCGTCGCCGCAGGCCTCTTGCCGCCGCACGCCGCCGTCGCCGTTGCTGTCGCCGCTGTCGGGACTGCCGCCGTCGCCATCTCCAGGGCCTTGGGGTTGGCCCTGCTGGAGTAGTCGTGGCTGCTGGGAATGGGGGTGCTAGGTTAGGGGGTGTGGGGGTGTGTGGGTCCTTGTGCTACCAAGCAGGGCTCCCGTTATCAGACCAAATCGGTCTGATGGTCTGAAAATCAGACCGGGTTTTTATGTTTCATCTGATTTTTTGACGAGCCAAATATATTCGTCTGATTGTTCAGACAAGTTATAAAGATTTCGTCTGAAACATCAGACCAGGTGTACACATTCATCTTATTTATCAGACCGGCCGTTTTTTTCCGTCTGATACCGACAAACCCACCCTTCTAGCAGCAGGGCCACTATTAGTCCACATGCTCACTGGGCCACTGCCTGCCACCTGGTCCCATGTGCACCGCAGCACGCGCATTCAATTCTACCCCGAGCGCAGCAGCAAAACAGTCCAGCGCACATAAACAGTCTGAATTCTCAGACACGTGCTTGCATTTCGTCTGAATCGTAAGACAGGCAAAAAAAATCCGTCTGACGGTCAGACGAAGCTCTAAGTACCCGTCTGATTTTCAGATTGCCCTAAAAACTAGCAGGAGCCCTGCTACCAAGCCTAGGGGGGGTGATAAATTATATATGTTCGTATATAATTATAGGCTTGGTAGACGTTACTGAACATTACTGTAGAGGGTACAACACCCCTCCTTGTATCGCTCTCTTCCTAGTCAACTCTCTTTTCTCTCGTCAAATCTCCCTCTCCTAGTTCTCCTAGCTCCTAAAACCTCACGCCACTTTCATGGCGTCCTAGTCTTTAGTTCGACATTTCTTAACTCCTAATCTAGCATTTTGAGAGTCGATCCTCTCTCTATCTCTAGGGAGGGTACTGGGGAGGCTTTCCTTGGGGAAGGTGGATATATGGAGCCTAACCCTCCTGATGACATCCCTTCTTGTCCCAGTGGTTAGGACTGGTGACTTTATGACAGAGGTCCTACTGGTGCTGACTCTAATAAATCCGATACCCCTGTAATTGCTCTGTACTTTTGCATGGCTACAAGCACAAGAGAAGCATGCGTCACTTCCACAATGACTCTACTATGGCAACACTAAATTGACCCCTTGTGTCCCACGTGGGTGTCTCGGCGTTATTTGCTTGCACTGCTATGCCTAAACGTGCTTCTCACTTTACCTTGGTGCAATAAACCAAGAATGGAATTCTTTGGGGGAACTTCAGCTCTTGTTGCGTTGTGCTAAGGTTTGTTATGCCTCTTATGGTGAGGCCATTTTTCTTCCTCCATATCAGCCGCTCCCTCAAGGTTGGTCAGGATTATCAGCCCAAAAGGACGTAAAGTGTGCTCTGTCATTTTTGTTTCACTCCTAAATTGCTAGTCTAATGTTATTTTGCACATACCAAACTCTTCTGTTACAACATCCCTTCTCAGCATTGCTCTGGTCCACATTCAGCATTTAGTCAGAATCATGCTCCCCAGAATTCTCTGTCAGATTCACAAGTCAGTCACTGGCCGCCCATTCACTTGTCTCCTAGGCCCTTGTCATTCAGTCCCTCACCCCCTCAGTCTAGTCTTGTCCGTGCGACTCATCTCTCTTGAGCACTGGCCGAGCAGCAGTCTTTTTCCGCCGATCGCCACCCTGGTCGCGGTTGTTGGCTTATCATCTCCCGGCGCACCATCGTCAGCGCTCACCTGCACTTACCGTTCGACCAATCTGGCCGCCAATTTGCCTCCTTAACGCCTCTAGCTGCATAACGCGTACATGTGCGAATTCGTGTTATAGAGTATCGGATCCTTCGGAGCGCCGGTTCGCAGCGTAGCGCGGTCCGGATGGAGATCGACCCTGTCGTAGAAGGACATTCAGGTACCTCTGATCGGTAAAACTCGGGTACTCGCCTCCTTTCCGCGAATTCGACGCGCTCGTCCAGTTAGCAGATCTCTCCGTTACAACGGGTTCTCTCTTATCGCATCTCTCTCTTAGCGCGATCTCTCTGCTCGCTCAACATCGCGTACTGCAAGGCTGATCATGGCTCTTCCCAACGCCAGTGCTCGAATGAGCTTTCGAATATGCCCTATGGACCAGTCACTTTCTGGCTTGGATCAATTAGGTTGTGCATCGTGTGTCCGTCGATTCCCGTACCTCTACGCCTGACCGCTCCCCCGTCCCCCATCCCCCTACCAGCGTCGTCGGACGACTGGCGGCGGGCGTTGGCGCGCGTGGTCCCCGCGGTGGTGGTGCTGCGCGTGACGGTGGTGCGCGCGTTCGACACGGAGTCCGCCAACTCCAGCTACGCCACCGGCTTCATCGTCGACAAGCAGCGCGGCATCATCCTCACCAACCGCCATGTCGTCAAACCCGGTGCGTGCTCGCCTCGAATCCAATGCTGGCTGCTTGCCCCACCGTCCGCACCCGAAATCTTAGCTGCTCCCCATGACCCCTCCTTCGAATTCCCCTTCCATTTCCTTCTGAACGGCCCACCCCCCCTTCCCGTCCTCCACCCGCTCTCCCCTCTCCGCCACCATGCGCACGGTGGCGGAAGCCAAGCTTCTGAACCGCGAGGAGATCCCCGTGCACCCCATTTACCGCGACCCCGCATCTGATTTCCGCATCCCCCCCTCTCCGCTGTCTCTCCCCCCTCCGCTGCCCTCCCCTACGCTGCTCTCCCATTCACCAGGTCCCGTGGTGGCGGAAGCCATGTTTCTGAACCGCGAGGAGATCCCGGTGCACCCCATCTACCGCGACCCCGTGCACGACTTCGGCTTCTTCCACTTCGACCCCGCGGCTGTCCAGTTCCTTGAGTACCAGGACATCCCCCTCTCACCTGAAGCCGCCGCAGTCGGGCTCGAGATCCGCGTTGTGGGGAATGATAGTGGAGAAAAGGTGTCGATCCTGGCGGGGACGATTGCTCGGCTCGACCGCGACGCGCCGGTGTATAAGAAGGACGGGTACAACGACTTCAACACGTTTTATCTGCAGGCGGCGTCGGGGACAAAAGGGGGGTCGAGCGGGTCGCCGGTGATTGACTCGAGGGGGTGTGCGGTGGCGCTGAACGCGGGGAGTAAGTCGTCCAGCGCGAGTGCTTTCTTCCTGCCGCTGGATCGGGTGGTGCGCGCTCTGGGCGCCATTCAGCAGTGCTTTGAGGAGAAGGAGGGCGGCGGGTTCGTGGTGCACAAGTGGCGGCCGCCCGTGGTCCCTCGAGGGACGCTGCAGGTGAGCAGGCAGGGGGTCGGGAGGCGCTGGTTGGGGGCATGCTTCTAGCAAGACGTGGGAGCTTTTGAGACGTGTCATCTTGAGACATTTCAATGCCACTGAGACTGCTGTCATCAGGAATATCTCATCCTGCTCCTTTCCAATCTTCCCTGCCCGTTCTATCTCCTGGCCCCCTTTCCTTCCGCAGTTGACGTTCATTCACCGGGGGTTTGACGAGACGCGGCGGCTGGGCTTGAAGCGCGAGACGGAGGCGGAGGTGCGGAAGGAGGCGGGGGCAGCGGAGACGGGGCTGCTCGTCGTGGACTCCGTTGTCCCTGGGGGTCCCGCCGATGGCAGACTGGAGCCTGGAGACATCCTTGTTCGGGTTAACGGCAAGGTGAGTGGTGTTCCCGCAAGGGAGAGAGGGGCGGAGGTGAGAGCAGACACAGGGCTGCTGCTGCTGAACTCGCTGGTGCCCGGGGTTCGGCGGATGGACGACTGGAGCTTGGAGACATTCTTGTGCGGGTCAATGGCAAGGTGAGATATAGGATTCAGGGTTAGGTTAAGGTTTGGGTTGAGGAAGTAGTTTTGGCGCGGTGTGGAGTCTATGGATGCTAGGAAGGAGGTACCCCTTGTGTACCCTTTCACCACTTCCTCTCCCCCCCCCTCCCCCACCCGCCTTGGCCCCCTCGCAGGTGCTCACTCAGTTCCTCGCCCTAGAATCTATCCTGGACGACGCAGTGGGCGCCACAGTCACTCTCGACGTGGAGCGCGGCGGCACGCCCCTCTCCCTCACCCTCTCCGTGCACGACCTGCACTCCGTCACCCCCGACCGCTTTCTCGAGCTCTCAGGGGGCGTGCTGCACGCGCTCTCGTACCAGCAGGCGCGTAACTTCCGCTTCCCCTGCGGGCTCGTTTACGTCGCTGAGCCGGGCTACATGCTGTCCCGCGCGGGCGTGCCGCGATTTGCAATCATTCAGAAGCTAGCAGACAAGGAGGTGCCGGATTTAGAGTCGTTCATTAGGGAGTTTGGGAGGTTAAAGGCGGGCGCGCGCGTGCCGATTGAGTATGTGACGCACGGGGAGCGGCACCGGCCCAAGTCGGTGCTGCTGGTGGTGGACAGGCACGCGTGGTATGCGCCGCCTGAGATGTATTGTAGGGATGACTCCACTGGCCTCTGGCGCATTGCCCAGGCTCTCCCTGCTCCTCCTCCCTCTGCTGCTGTTGGTGGTGATGCTGCTGCTGCGGGTGGTGCTGCTGATGGTGCTGCGGGTGCTGGTGAAGGGGAGAAGCAGGAGGAGGGAGGGTCGAAAGAGGGAGGTGAGAATGGAGGGGAGCAGCAGAGAGGGGAGAAGAGGGGGAGAGGGGAGGAGGGCGAAGGGGGGGAAGGAGGCAAGAAGTGCAAGGTGGAGGAGACTGTTATTTCTGATGGGGATGTGCCCCATGCTGCTGCTGATGCTGCTGCTGATGGAGCCGAGGCGTCAGCCAAGCCAGCTGGCACGAGCTCATTGGTGGAGAGCGCTCTGGAGCCTGCGTTTGTGATGATGGAGGTGGGTGCGCTTGCCTCTCCTTGCCCCATCCTGCTCGGTTGGTGGTGTCATTCTGATTCAAATTTGGGTGTGGTGACCTTAATTGACACTTTTGTTTCTATTCTCCCCATTCGCCCCCCCCCTTGTCTCCCAGGTGCATGTACCACCTCTGTAATGTGGATGGGGTGCACGCGTGGCATTTTTTTGGCACAGGGCTCGTGGTGCACCACACGCCTTGAGGTGCCTTGATCAGCACTTATTCTCCTCCTCCCCTCACAATCACTTTTACCTCTCCTCTCCTCTCCTCTCCCCATCTCTCTCTCCCTCCAGCTGCATGTACCACCATCCCTGATGGTGGACGGGGTGCACGCACGGCATTTTTTTGGGCACGGCGCTCGTGGTGCAGTACACGCGTTGAGGTGCCTTGATCAACAGTCGTCTCTCCCGTCCTCAATCAACACTTTTGTTTCCCCACTCCCAATCGATCCCCCCCTGTCTACCAGATGCACGTGCCGTCGTCCGTGATGGTGGGCGGGGTGCATGCAGTCATAGAGTGTCCTGAGGTCGCTCACAATCGTGTTTCTCTTCTCCCATCGCTCTCCCCCTCTGTTTGCCAGGTGCACGTGTCGTCGTCCGCGATGGTGGACGGGGTGCATGCAGTCATAGGGTGTCCTGAGGTCGCTCACAATTGTGTTTCTCTTCTCCCATCGCTCTCCCCCCCTGTTTGCCAGGTGCACGTGCCGTCATCCGTGATGGTGGATGGGGTGCACGCGCAGCACTTCTTTGGCACGGCGCTGGTGGTGCACCACACGCCGCAGCTGGGCCTCATAGTGGTCGACCGCAACACCGTGGCCGTCTCTGTCTCCGACATCATGCTCTCCTTCAGCGCCTACCCCGTTGAGGTGCCTGGCGAGGTGAGTGGGTGCCTTTCTCTTCTCTCGTTCTCTCCTTGTATCCATCTGTCCCTCCCCCTATCCATCTCTCTCTCTCACATCATGCTCTCCTCCCCCCTCCCAGCTGGTGTTCCTCAACTCGTGCACACCTTTGCCTTCGTGGCTCTGGGTGCGGCAGGGGGCTGCGGCAGTGAAATCAGCTCTCCTGTGTTCTGCACCTGCTCCTTCCCCCCCAGGTGGTGTTCCTCCACCCCGTGCACAACTTTGCCTTTGTCGCTTACGACCCCTCGGCTCTCGGCGCCGCAGCAGCAGCGGCAGTGAAGCCAGCCACTTTGAAGCCATCACCCCCTCTCCACCGCGGCGACCGCGTGCACCTGGTGGGGCTCAGCCGCAGCCAGGCCGTCACGTCCCGGCAATCCGTGGTCACAAATCCTACGGCTACTTTGACAGTGGGCGCAGCTGACTGCCCGCGGTACCGGGCCATCAACATGGATGTGGTTGAGATCGACACCGGTGAGTGCGTGCATACGCTTAGGCAGGCGCTGCTTGGTGGGTTCTGCCGCATGCCCTCAACCTGCCATGGGCTTGGCTTGGGCGATGGCTTTGACAGCAAGTGCTCCAACCTGCATGTTTTCTCCATGGCGCCCTCTCCACTTGTCCACTTGTCCACTCGTCCCTATCGCAGACTTTGGGCAGTCCTTCTCTGGCGTGCTGGCTGACGACACGGGTGCTGTGAGAGCCCTCTGGGGCTCCTTCTCCACCTTCGTACGTTGCAAACCTGCTGGCCGCCGTTGCGCCAAACACTCTCGACTCACCCTCTTTCTTGGCCTCCCCCCGCACCTCATTCCACCTCTCCCTCTCTCGTGACTTTTGAGTCGACTCAAAACTCACCCTCTCTCGAGCCCACATCCTTGCCTTTCAAAGCAAAGACCCGATTTTTTCCTCATGTCCCAATGAAAGGGCGCCACTCTCTCTGCTCCCTCTTGCCCACACCCCCCTCTTCTCCCCCGCCTCTGCTACGCACAACTCCATCTTGATTCTCTCCATACTTGTCCCCACGTCTTTTCGCTGTACATTTGTAAGTACCAATTTCTTTCTTGTGTGATCTCTCTCCCTCCTCCCCCCCCCTTTTTCCCGTTTCCCTCTCAGCTAAAGTATGGCGATGGCGGCACGGACGACCTGCAGTTTGTGCGCGGCATCCCCATCGCCTTCGTCTCCTCCGTGCTCGAACACATCCTCCTCGCCCCCCCCTCCACGCCCATCCGCCCTCACCTCACTCCGCCTCTCCCCCCTGCGCCTCCTTCTGCTGCGACTGACACGGAGGGGAAGGGGCAGGCGATTGTTGAAGGGGAGGAGGCGAGAGAGGCAGTGGGGCAGGTGCGTGATCACACGGGGGGGCTGCAGCAGCAGGCGGGGGGGGACGGCCGGCTGCTGATGAACGGGCGGCTGTGGGAGATGCCGTGTGTGCGCGTGCTTGAGGCAGAGCTCGCCCCCATGCTGCTGTCAAAGGCGCGCAGCTTCGGGCTTACAGACCCCTGGGTGCGCGTGCTCGCTCAGGCGGACCCTCTGAGGCGCCAGGTGCTGAGAGTGAAAGGGACGCTCGCAGGGTCCGCTGTTGCTGGGGTGCTGCAGCAGGGGGATATGCTCCTTGCCGTGAATAACCGGCCGGTGACTTGTTTTGCTGATGTGGAGGTGGCGTGCCGTGAGCTGGACTCTGGGGGGGGTGAGTCAGCAGTACCGTTGGAGGGGACCGGGGTAGGGGTTGTGAGTAATGGTGATGTGAGTATGGCAGAGGTAAGGGAGCCGACAGGGGCGCCAGGAGAGGCAGCAGAGGCAGGCAAGACTGCTGTGAATGGCTTATCAGAGGCTGCAGCAGGGGCAGCAGGGGCAGCGGGGGCAGGAGGGACTGCTGGGAGGATAGACGGGAAGGGCGATTCCTCACTTGCAGCAGCAGGGGCGGAGGCACCCCTGTCGCTGCACCTGACGATACTTCGGCAGGGCAAGGAGCAGCGGGTGCAGGCGGCCACGGACGTGCGGCACGGGTTTGGCACGACGCGCGTGGTGAACTGGGCGGGGTGCCTCGTGCAGGACCCCCACCCCGCCGTCAGGGCCACCGGCTTCCTCCCCTCGCAGGGCCATGGCGCCTACGTTGCCAGGTGGGTGGGATGATGGCTCCTTTGTCACCAAGTGGGTGGGGGCTGTGGATTGTTCAAGGTTGTCGGTGCAGGGAGGGGGGTTCTTGAGCAATTCTTGGATCACGGACGTGCATGGTGAGGGTGGGGTGCCTCATGCAGGACCCCCACCCCGCCGTCAGGGCCACTGGCTTCCTCTCCTCGCAGGGCCACGACGCCTATGTTGCCAGGTGGGTGGGGTGGGGGGCATGGTGCTACATGGTCATTTGGGCAAGATGGGGGTTGTTGAGCACGTTTTAGAGCATGGGAGCGCATGGCAAGGTTAGCCTGGAGGCAGCAGAAGAAAGCTGGCTGTCGTTGCATGCTTTTCCTTACACCAGGGCACCCTTCGTCCCCCTCCTCCGTCTCTCCTTCTGGTTTTCGTTCCTTCATTCCCTTCCAGGCCCCCCTCTGTCCGGCGACCTACCTGCCACACTGGTCGAAAGCACTCCGGTCGAAAGCACACCAGTCCAAAGCACTCCGGTCCAAAGCACTCCGGTCCAAAGCACTCCGGTCCAAAGCACTCTGGTCCAAATCACACCAGTCCAAAGCACTCCGGTCGAAAGCACTACGGTCGAAATCACACCAGTCCAGAGCACTCCGGTCCAAAGCACTCCAGTCGAAAGGACTCCGGTACAAAGCACTCTGGTCGAAAGCACTCCGGTCGAAAGCGCTCCGTCCGAAAGCGCTCTGGTCCAAAGTGCTCCGGTCCAACGCGCTCCGGTCCAAAGCCCTCCGGTCGGAAACGCTCCGGTCGAAAGCGAAATCGCTCCGGTCGGAAGCATTATGGTCGGAAGCACTCCGGTCGGAAGCATTATGGTCGGAGGCACTCCGGTAGGGTAGGCCTCGTACCTCCCTCGGTAGGCCTCATATCTCTCTCGGTAGGCCTCGTATCTCCTTTGGTAGTCCTCGGATCTCCCCCGGTAGGCCTCGTGTCTGCCTCGGTAGGCCTCTTATTTCCCTCGGTAGGCCTCGTATCTCCCTCGGTTGGACTCCTGTCTCCCTCGGTAGGCCTCGTATCTCCCTCAGTAGGCCTCGTATCTCTCTGGGTAGGCCTCGAATCTCCCTCGGTAGGCCTCGTATCTCCCTCGGTAGGCCTCCTATCTCCCTCGGTAGGCCTCGTATCTCCCTCAGCAGGCCTCGTATCTCTCTGGGTAGGCCTCGAATCTCCCTCGGTAGGCCTCGTTTCTCTCTCAGTAGGCCTCGTATCTCTCTCGGTAGGCCTCGTATCTCTCTCGGTCGGCCTCGTATCTCTCTCGGTAGGCCTCGTATCTATCTCGGTAGGCCTCGTATCTCCCTCAGTAGGCCTCGTATCTCTCTCGGTAGGCCTCGTATCTCCCTCGGTAGGCCTCCTATCTCCCTCGGTAGGCCTTGTATCTCCCTCAGCAGGCCTCGTATCTCTCTGGGTAGGCCTCGAATCTCCCTCGGTTGGCCTCGTATCTCCCTCTGTAGGCCTCGTATCTCTCTCGGTAGGCCTCGTATCTCCCTCAGTAGGGCTCGTATCTCCCTCGGTAGGCCTCGGATCTCCCTCACTAGGCCTCGTATCTCTCTCGGTAGGCCTCGTATCTCCCTATGTAGGCCTCGTATCTCCCTCGGTAGGCCTCTTATTTCCCTCGGTAGGCCTCCTATCTCCCTCGGTTAGCCTCCTATCTCCCTCGGTAGGCCTCGTATCTCCCTCGGTTGGCCTCGTATCTCCCTCGGTAGGCCTCGTATCTCCCTTGGTAGGCCTCGTATCTCCCTTGGCAGGCATCGGATCTTCCACGGTAGGCCTCGTTTCTCCCTCGTTAGGCCTCCTATCTCCCTTGGTAGGCCTCGTATCCCCCTTGCTAGGCCTCGTATCTCCCTAGGTAAGCCTCGTACACCGGTCGAAATCTCTCTGGTTGAAAGCACTCCGGTCTAAAGCACCCCCGTTGAAAGCACCTTGTGCCATGCCACAACAGCTCAGCAGACCGCTACGGGCATATGCGCACCATCCCTCCTTCCTTCCCCAATGGCCTCTATGCGCCCCCCTTCTTTCCTCTAAGAAGTTCACTTCCTTCCCACCACCCCCACCCTCTCAGGTGGTGCCATGGCAGTCCGGCCCACCGGTACGGGCTGTACGCACTCCATTGGATTGTGGAGATCAATGGCCGACCCGTGCCCGACCTCGATGCCCTTGTTGCCATCAGCCAGGTGAGCCTCTTGCTGCCATCAGCCAGGCGAGGTTCTTGCTGCCACCGCCCAACACTGCTCGTCACCGCCCATCACCGCCCATCACCGCCCACCACCCGTCACCACCACCCACCGCGTGTCACCGGCCGTCACCGTCCATCACTCCCCACCGCCTGTTACCACCAGTGGTTTGCCACCTGAGTGGTTTCTCACCGGTTTGCCACTACCTTGAGTAGTTTTTCACTGGTTTGCCACCACCCCGAGTGGTTTTTCACTGGTTTGCCACCACCCCAAGTGGTTTCTCACTAGTTTGCCACCACCCCGAGTGGTTTCTCACTGGTTTGCCACCACCCTGAGTGGTTTCTCACTGGTTTGCCACTATCCTAAGTGGTTTCTCACTGGTTTGCCACTATCTTAAGTGGTTTCTCATTGGCTCGCCACAATTTTGAGTGATTTCTCACTGGCTCGCCACCACCCCGAGTGGTTTCTCACCTGTTTGCCACCACCCCGAGTGGTTTCTCACCTGTTTGCCACCACCCCGAGTGGTTTCTCACCTGTTTGCCACCACCCTGAGTTTTTTCGCAGTGGTTTGACACCACCCTGAGTGGTTTCCTAGTGGTTTCTTTGTTCCTCTCCTGCTCTTTCCATTTCCGCTCTCCAGATTGTTCATCTCAACCTCCCCTCCCACTGTTGCCCCCTTCTGTCCATTAGTGCGCTCCCTCCCCCCCCCCCCCCCCGTGTTCAGGAGGTGGAGCACGGCGCCGTTGTGCGGGTGAAGGTGGTGCATTTGAACGGCAAGCCGCACTCCTCCCCTTCCTTCCAAACTCTCTGTTCAACTTCCCCTCATCCTTTTATGATCTCGTCCCCCCCTCTCCCCTCCTCCCCCCTTCTCCAGGAGTTGGAGCACGGCGCCTTTGTGCGGGTGAAGGTGGTGCATTTGAACGGCAAGCCGCGCGTGCTGACGCTGAAGCAGGACCTGCACTACTGGCCCACGTGGGAGCTGCGCTTCGTGCCCAGCTCAGGCACGTGGCACCGCACCATCCTCAAGATACAGAAGTAGCACAGCATCCTCACCTCTTCAGAAGTAATACAGAAATAGCTATTCTGGGACTTTCATGTGACAATGTGGCATTAGCCCTTCAAGCCTCCTCTAGGAGTTGATCATGGCTGCATCTTGTCGCAATAGGTCGATTCATTTGTGATGACGATCGCACTGTAATGGATTGTCATGGGACCAATATCTCTCTCCACCATGCTTTATAGTTGCGTTAAGGGAGATGCAAAATTACAGTGTACTGGGCCTGCATCTGTAGATAACATCCATTGCAACAGCTAGCTTAAAGCCAAGGTCGGTGCACTCACTATCGGGGCTGTTCAATCGTATCTGCACAGCTCGTCACCATTGACATCCATTCTCCATCCCAAGAGGCGAGAGGCGCTCTTCCCACCACATCAATCCGCGCATTGCGATCATTCCCTCGCCGCTTCCGCAATCGCCGGTCTCGGACAGCCACTGCGGCAGGCAGCGCGAGCGTGAGGCGGGCAGCGAGCAAGCGGGCGGGAGAGGCAGTTAGCGAGTGACCCAGGCAGGCAGCGAGCCAGAGCCAGTGAGTGGGGCGGCGATGGAGCATTCGGGGCGCGCGGGCCACAACGACCCCATCGTGCGCCAGGTCGGCTTCTTCGCGCCCTCCGCCGCACTCCCCGCCGGCCAATCCGCCCGCGACCCCTCCGCCTCCTCCTCTTCCGCAGCCGACACCGACGGGCTGCCGCCCCTGCCGTTCCTCGCAACGGCGTCCCCGTCGCCGCCTTTCGTGCCGTCCGTGCCGCCGATGCCGTCGCTGCCGATCAACGTGCCGCTGCCGTCCTACCAGCGCCCCTCGCCCATCATGGAGGGCAGCGAGTGCTCCGATAGTCTCCCGCCTGATGATTCCTACCTATCGTCGTCCGCCACGTCAGCAGCACCATCCGGCGCGGTGTTCGGATCCGTGTCTGACGTCAGCGGACCGATCGTCTCCGCCGCGGCTGTAGCTCGCGCGGGTGCGGCGGCGGCGCAGGGGGAAGGGGCGGATGGCGCAAAACCCAGCCGCGGGGGGCAGGCGGGCGCTCCTGCGCGGGGACAGGCGCCTCGGGGGGAGCGGCAGGCGGAGCAGTGGCGGGGGCAGCGGGCGCGGGGAGATCCCCCGCGAACAGCAGCAGCAGCGCGGGGGGCAGTCCGCAGAGTGCGGGGAGTCTGGGAGTGAGGGGCGCCGCTAAAGCTGCGTCTGCTGTGGTGCCCGCCTCCCTGCCGGGTGGGTGCTGTGACCAGGCACTAGGCACTAGGGCTCGAATCAACGAGTGGGGCGCGGATGGGGTAGCGTCAGAGGATAGGGTGGGGTAGCGTCAGAGGATAGGGTGGGGTAGCAGGGATAGGGGTGGGGAGGGAGGGGGAGAAGGAAGGGAGGAGCAGGAGCAACGAATCGGCCTCACTAGACGTCGGTTGTGTGTCTCAGAAACCCTTCTAAACCCCGTGTCTGTATAGTCTAGTGCTTCCTCGATAACCTCCCTGCACCTGTATCTCCTCGGTCCAGCGCTCACCCCAATCCCCCTCCCACCCTCCCCCCCTCCCCAACCTCCCTCTCCCAACTTCCCCCCATCCCCCCAAAACCCCTTCCCCCCCTTTCCACCCCCGCCCGCGCCCGCGCCCCCACCCTCTCCCCCGTCTGCCAGCGGCGATGGACGGCAGGGCGGGCGGCAAGAAGGTGACGTCCAAGGCAGAGAGGCGCGCGCTGCAGGAGGCGCAGAGGGCTGCCAAGGCCGCTGCCAGTGCTGGGGGTGCTGCTGCTGGTGGTAAAGGTGCGTTGTTACTCACAACCTGTCAGTTTTTTAGTATGATGTGTTTTCACATGCATCTCATGCCATGCCATGCCATGCCATGCCATGCCATGCCATGCCATGCCATGCCATGCCATGCCATGCCATGCCATGCCATGCCATGCCATGCCATGCCGTGCCATGCCATGCTGTGCCATGCCATGCCATGCCATGCCCCTCATAATAACTGTGCCATGCCATGGTGCCAAACCCCAGTCTCTCCCTTTGCTTTCCTGCAGGGGGAAAGGGGGAGGGGGGCAGGCGGAGGGGGGGCAAGGGCGGGCGGGGGAAGGAGGGGGGGCAGCAGGGCGGGGGGAGGAGGGCGAGTGGGGAGTCAGTTGCAACCTCTGCTACAGGCGGAGGGGGAGGGGAGGGGGATGGGCGCAGCAGCAGTGGCAGCATGGCTGGCGCACAGAAGGGGGGAGGGGGTGGCGGGGGAAAGGGAGGGGGGCGGGGAGGGGAGGAGGGGCAGCACAAGTCGAGCTCGTTGCGGGGCGGGTGGCAGCAGCTGATGGCTGACGTGGCGGCCGTGGATTCATCCCTGCGAGTGGACCTGTTTCGGCATCTGCCACAGTTTGACCGCGCGGCTCAGATCCGCCTCGTGGAGGCACGGCTGCTGGACGAGGAGGAGAGCCCCCTGCAGATCCACCCCGGCGTGTACGAGGTAAGCGGGTGGGATGGAGCAAGGTGCGTGCAACATGCCTTGCCATGCCTTGCCTTGTGGCATGAATGCTCTCCCTCCATCATGCCGTCCTCTCCTGCTTCCCCCCCAAACACCCCCCTCCCCAGGCGGGCACGGGCTTTCTCCTGACGAACCAGCGCCTGCAAGGCGGCCACGAGCGCATGGGGAAGCCACGCTGCTATAAGTGCTGCCTTCATTCACCCAACCACCCTCCCTCAACCCCCTCTCACCCTCTCCCCCTCTCACCCTCTCCCCCACCCCTCCCCACCCACCCCCTCCCCCTCTCCAGGCGGGCATGCGCTTCCTCCAACAGGATCAGCGCCTGCAGGGCGGCAACGAGCGCTGCCTGGCGATGCTACAAGCCCTGCGCCTGCTCTTCCTCGACTACCGCCTCCCCGAGGGTCGCCCCCTCATCCGCGACCTCACCGCCAAGCTCAATGCGCACGTGGGCTTCTTGATTGCGTGCCGCCAGCTGTCCGTCGGCATGGGGAACGCCGTGAGGGCGCTCAAGCAGTGCCTGACGAGGATGGGCGCTGACCCGGCCGTGCAGGAGGGCGCCGCAAGGACGGCGCTGGTGGCGGAGATCGACCGGTTTGTTGCTGAGAAGCTGGTGTACGCGGGGCTGGAGGTGGTGCGGCACGCCGCTGGGAAGATAAGGAGGGAGGGCGACGTGATCCTCACGTTTGGGTGGTCGGAGCTTGTGCTGCAGGTGAGCGCTCACTCACCAGTTCCTCTCTGCCTCTCATCCTAGGGTCTCATGCTACGGTTTCGTTTTCTCCACCCCGTCCCACATTCGACTTCTTCCTTCCCTCCCTGCTCCCTTTTCCTCTCCCTTTCTCCTCTCCTCGCTCTACTCTCTCCCTGCCCCCTCAGGTGCTCCTCTCAGCTGCCAGTGCGGGCCATGTGTTCCGGGCCATAGTGGTCGACTCCCGCCCGCACCTGGAGGGCAAGGAGATGGTGCGCCGCCTGCTGGCGGGCGGCATTTCCTGTCTCTATCTGCGGCTTAACGCTGCCTCGTACATTATGAAGGTAGGGCGGCAGCAGGAAGCCGGAGAGAGGAGGATGGGGAAGAAGAGGGTTGTGACTGCAGAGTATCTGTGGATCAAATGGCCCAGAAAGGTTTTTCCTTACAGCCCCATCTGGCTATCTCCTGGGTGCTCTTGAGCGTGGGTGCTCTTGGGCGTGGGTGCTCTTGAGCGTGGGTGCTCTTGAGCGTGGGTGCTCTTGGGCGTGGGTGCTCGTTGGCGTGGGTGCTCTTGGGCGTGGGTGCTCTTGGGCGTGGGTGCTCTTGGGCGTGGGTGCTCTTGAGCGTGGGTGCTCTTGAGCATGGGTGCTCTTGTCTCACCGATCTCCCCGTCTTCTCCCCGTCCAATCAGGGCGTGACACGTGTGTTCCTGGGAGCAGCGGCAATAGATGGGGAGAGCAATAGATGCACAGCAGGTGTGGAACAGTTAGCTCTCGAGTTTCTTTCCTTACAGCCCCACGTCGCTATCCTCTCTTCTCTCCTGCGCCCTCCTCCCACCAATTTCCACCTGCTCTCCACATCCAATCAGGACGTGACACGTGTATTCCTGGGAGCAGCAGCAGTGCTGGCGAACGGGGCGGCATATGCGCGGGTGGGCACGGCAGCGGTGGCCATGATGGCGCATGCGCAGCGCGTGCCGGTGCTGGTGTGCTGCGAGTCCAGCAAGTTCCATGAGCGCGTGCAGCTCGACTCCATCACTCACAACGAGATCGGTGGGTTGACCTTAATTGACTTGCGTTGACGTTTGTTGACCAGCGTTGACCTTTGTTGTCCTGCGTTGACCTTTGTTGACCTGCGTTGAATCCACCACGAACAATGAGTCGCTGTCTGCTGGTTCCCATGCTGCTGCGAGTCCAGCAAGTTCCAGGAGCGCATACAGCTCGACTCCATCACACACAACGAGATCGGTGGGTTGACCTGCGCTGACCTGCACTGACTTGCATTGAGTTGCACCCACTCCAACATTGAAGGCAAGGGTCAGATCGTGTTGCTCCCGCCTCGTACCCTCTTCTTCCACCTTCCCCTCCCCATCCCCCCTCTCTCTGTCTTTCAGACAACTCTGTCCCACCTTGTAACTTCCGTCTTTCCACGACTCCTTTTCTCTCCAACGCCCGGCCCACAGGCGATCCACAGGTGCTGGTCAACACGGGCCTCTCCCCATCGCTCTCATCAGACGCACCCGAGGCAGTAGACGCAGCAGAACCATCTCCCATGCAGCACTGGCAGAGCACGCCCACGCTCCGGCCCCTCAACATCCTGTGATTACCCGCTCTCACCATTCCTATTCCGGCTATTCGTCCACTTCAAGCTGACCTGGTTCCCTCTCCTTGCTCGTGTGTAGGTGTCTGCACCCCATGTGCTGTCTCCACTGATCCATGTGTTCATGCATGACGCTCTGGCGCGTGTGCCTCTGTCTCCGCCTCTCTCTGCGTCCCTGCCTCTGCCCGCTGCAGGTTCGACCTCACCCCAGCAACTACATCACCGGCATCGTCACAGAGATTGGCGTGGTGAGATGCGCATGCGCACGCACATGCACATGCACATGCACATGCACACGCACATGCACACGCACATGCACACGCACATGCACATGCACATGCACACGCACATGCACATGCACATGCACACGCACATGCACACGCACACCCACAGCACCAGCACATGCACACGCACATGCACATGCACACGCAGCACAGCACATGCACATGCACATGCACACGCACATGCACACGCACACGCACACGCACATGCACACGCACACGCACATGCACACGCACATGCACATGCACACGCACATGCACATGCACATGCACATGCACATGCACACGCACATGCACACGCACATGCACACGCACACGCACATGCACACGCACATGCACATGCACACGCACATGCACATGCACACGCACATGCACACGCACATGCACATGCACACGCACATGCACATGCACACGCACATGCACATGCACATGCACATGCACACGCACATGCACACGCACACGCACATGCACACGCACACGCACATGCACACGCACATGCACACGCACATGCACATGCACATGCACACGCACATGCACACGCACATGCACACGCACATGCACACGCACATGCACACGCACATGCACATGCACACGCACATGCACACGCACATGCACATGCACATGCACATGCACATGCACATGCACATGCACATGCACACGTTAGCATGCACACACAGGTAGGTGCACACACAGGTAGGTGCACACACAGGTAGGTGCACACACAGGTAGGTGCACACACAGGTAGGTGCACACACAGGTAGGTGCACACACAGGTAGGTGCACACACAGGTAGGTGCACACATTCATGAGTGGATGCGCACAGGTAGGGGCAAAACGGGGAGGCGCCCATGTTTGGGACTTGCAGCTGGCCACTGCGCCCTTCAAGTCCATTCACACTAACTTTTTCCCTCCGCATGCCGCCTGCCATGTGCCATCCCTCCAGGTGCCCACGTCGAGTGTGCCTGTCATCCTGCGTGAATGCCGCAATCAGCTGTACTAGATGGCACGGGATGGAATCATGTGGCTCCCATGTGATACCATCGACATGCGTTGTTCCAGTATGCCGGCTGGCTATTTCCACAAGAGATAGTTGTGTTAGAGTACAGGGGAGGGGACGTGGCAAACAGTCTCGATGGTAACCAGTAGAGATATTTTATCAGCGCAGTTTCAGTTCAGTATGGGTCTTAGAAGAGAGAAGTGAGTTGTAGTATTGAGGGATATTCAGAAGACATTTTAACGCAGTTGCAGTTCTTTATGGTTATCAAAAGTCAGTTCCGCTGCTCTGCTCTGAAGATCCATTCGTCCTGAATCTCAAGAAGAGTTTTCAGCAATTGAGGTGGTGGAAGACGTTTCAGAGAAGCATGTGGTGGGTTTATCATAATAATAGAAAACCTAGCTAGCCAGACCCACCACACAAAAAAAGGTGTGCCACTGAACCAGCACTGCAACCCACCACGCTAAAACATCAGGTCACCCAGGATGGGTACCTATTTAGGCAAGAGCTGCAATTCTGCTGAGGTGCTCGAGCACAAGCGAGGTGCCGGTGGCGAACGAGACATCCTCATAGGCGAGCCCGTGCTTCTCACACAGCTCCTTGACTGCCTTGCAGGTCTTGCCAAGGTGGTGCCGCGGCATGGTGGGGAACAGGTGATGCTCCAGCTGCCGGTTCAGCCCGCCTGTGAACCAGTTGTTGAACAGACCTCCGTTCACGTCGCGCGTCGTCACAATCTGAAGGGGATGGAGACAATGAGGTGCCCCATGGTGAGTTTAGAATGCGAAGATTGATTTGGACACGTTCATAAGGACCTTTCAGAACTGTGTCAGTAGTCAACTATTCTGACCCTGCTACGGACAAGCCTGATGGCCACTGTATAATGGATAGTACTCCCATCCCACAACACCTGGCCTCTGCCAGCAACCCCGACTCACCTGCGCGGTGTAGAAGTCCTTGCCCTCGTTGTAGATCTCCATGGCGTTGTGGCTCTGCACAAACACAATCGCTAGGAACAGCCCGCCAGTGATCTGCCCCGTCAGCATCCACATGAGGCCCTTCCAGAACGGCAGGCAGCCGAAGCCGAAGCCGAGCACCCAGGCGTAGTGCAACACCATGAACAGCCGCTCCCAGAAGCGCTCCTTGGGCGCCACCTCGTCCGAGAAGCAGTACGTCAGACTCGCGTACGACCTGCGCGGGGGGGGGAAGGGAGGGGGATACAAGGAACGCTATCAGGAAGCTTCGAACCAGCTTCCGTTGCCAGATCTTACTTCCGAGAGGGAAAACTGGAAACTCATCCGCATGCTGCTCTGCGTTTTACGGATTCTGTGGAGTTTAGCGTACCAGGCGAAGCGGGCGAAGGAGAGGAGCGGAAAGAAGAGCGGGCTCTGGTAGCGGAGCAGTGAGCGGACGGTCTTGCTCTTGACTGTGGCGAGAATGTTCTCGCTCCACGCGAGGTACGGCAGGGTGTCAATGTCGGGGTCGATGGGGCGGTACTCCTTGTCGCACTCGTTTGGGACGGCGTGGTGCGTGTTGTGCTTGTTCTTCCACCAGTTGGTGCTAAACCCCATCAACAGATTGCCGTGGATGTACCCGCCGACGAACGTGTTCAGGAACCGCGACTTGAACACCTGCATGTGAGTTGGAGGCATGTCAGGCGCTTTGGTCGTTCGAATCAAGATTAACGCAGTGAAACCGGGCTGTATGCGTGCATCTAAGTTAGCGGTTTCAGGACAACAAGTGCTCACGACATGCCAGAAGTTGACAACAATCGGCGGGAAACTGCCGCAGAAGGGCAGGAGAAGGACTATCACGAACAGCGAGACGGGTGTGCCTGACTGACCTGGTGGTGGAGGAAGTCGTGCGAGAGCCAGCCGACTTGTTGCCAGTACAGCCCGAGCAGGACGCCCGAGAAGAGCACCCAGAGCGGGTTGGAGGTCCACATGATGATGGCGATGCTGGTCGCCACGATGGCGTCCGTCGAAAGCACCTTGAACACGTAGTACGCCGGGTTGCTCTTGAAGTACCCCTTCGCCTCGAACGACGACCGCAGATCGCGGAAGTCCTTTAGCAGATCGCCCGTCGGCTCGACCTCGCTCTCCTGTAACGGACGACGCGAGATGCGATGCCACACGCAATCAGAACATATTCCCGCTTGGAGAGGCATCGTTTCGTTCCTAAGCGAGACACGCGAGGAGCTAAACGAGAGAAGTACTACACCCTCCGACCGGCAGACTAGTGGACGGTGCGATGGCAACGACTTTGATCTGAGGACAAAGCGTAGCCCGCGTTCGTGTGTCGACATCCTCTACGCAGCTGATCCCGACGGGTATAGATTCTCCAAGTTCTCGACGCGTTTGGTCTGTGCACACCTTGAGGTCGCCGATGTGCAGCGTGGAGAGGAAGGCGCGGGTGGTGGGCTTGTGGAAGGCGGCGAAGACGTCCGTGGCGTTGCGGCCCGCCAGCGAGTAGATCACTCGCCCGCCTGGATGCCGGTCGGCGAAGTCGCTCACGTCGTACACCTGCACGATCCATACGAACGAATAAATCAGCACCATGCAGTGGATTCGATTATATTCTTAGGATACTGTACCTAAGCGAAACCAAGGCGGAAGGGAGTTACGCGCGGATTTGAGTCGGACCTTGTTGTCGACGACAACCCAGCGTCCCCGGGCCGGTTGTGCTTGGACACCTCGTCCATGGTGAACTGCTTCGCCGCATTGCGTTCGTCGCGGCGACGGATCGCTTCGTGAGCCCGCCTGCATTACTGACGACGGTCTCGACGGCTGCAACCCGAGCCTTGGTGACCTCGCCCTCGCAACCCCCACGACCCTGAACAGACACAAGGAACGGCGCCGTAATGTCAGCTCAATAGCGGACATCATACATCGGAACAGACTATGATAATGCTACGGTCGCTGAATGCGTCGCTGAGGTACGCACCATGTTAATTCAGCTGCGATCTCTACGCCCAGCTGAGCAGTCAGGGCAGAGTCCGGCAGCAGCTGCTCCGCTGAGCCACTAGATTGAGATAAGCAGAACAAGTTTCAGGCTGCTCGTAAGGTGGTGAAACTAGAGACGGAGGTTGAGATGAAATATGGAGGAGAGTGTGCACCATCAAGCAGTGGCCATGGGGTGGAGGTGGAGAAGGTGCGTCACTCGTTTGAGGAACGGGGGGCACTCAGAGTGACGGAGGTTATTATCGGGGCGTGCGACAGCTGCTGCTGTTTGGCCGAATCTATGCCCAGTTGAGGGAGGCTTTCTGACCCTGGGATGCGCATGATCGGGCTGACGGTGCAATCGAGGTGGAATTGCTGCGACGGTCAGGATCTGAACGTGCTCTTCGTGGCCAATTAAGGATGGACAGTTGGGAGAGATCCAGGCGTCAAAATTGGCGGGAGGTGAACAGCCTACGATTCGAGCATCTATGGCTAGCTGTCCAGTCCATATGATACACAGCCCCCGAGTCTGATTGAAGAGCTCAACCCCCATAATTGAACCTGGATCCGGCTCGGCGGAGGCAAGCTGGGCCCGAGTGGTCCCAGCGTGACCTTGATTTGCGGCAGGCAAGGCCAATGAACGGAGCGCATCAGCGACCTAGCTACTGCTTATGAGACCCGAGAATTTCTCCCTGCTAGTGCTGGCGCTCCTATTGGAGGAGCACACGGTGAATATTTCTATGGTGACCCTCCTTGACGTGGACCAGTGAGGTTTGTCACACCGTGAGGTGGCACAAGGGTGTCCGTGTGTTTTGCAGCGCTGGAAAATATCCTCATCGCACCCACTTCAGGCCTGCCCTCCAGATGTTGAGCATTACACCTTTTCCCTCTATGGTCCCACTCCGAACAGTCCAAATTGCAATCTCACCTACCAGGTTCTCAGCATGACTCGCGTTGACACTGAACCTGATTGGCTGCAGTCTGAACGATAACGAACTACCAAGTTGTATTTCAACAATTGCGAGATTCAGGGCTGGAACGTCGCGCAGGCAACCAATCTAGTGCATGAGCGAGATTTTGTAACCAAGTGTCATTGCTTCCTGTGGGATCTCCCCTTCAAAGTCCCGTTTGCCCGTGTTTTACAATTTCCTGCTTACAGGCTCGAGCCGCGTGCAAAACCGTGGGACTAAATAGGAGAACAGGTGTAACAGTACTTGTATAGATGGCCACGTAGGGTACCGACCTACAGTTAAACAATGCGTTAAGTGGGTATGTAAAGGAGTGTGGGCTAAAATACTGCAAGAAGCGAGCCAAATAATATAAAATGGAATAGGTATATATGATAACTGATGAACATCCGCTAAACAACATCAGCTACTGGCACTTCTACCTCTTCCCGAGCAGCAAGATCTTTCACTTTGACTACCCCCCGTTCCCATTCTGACGAGCCAAGGATTATCATTCTTGATGCGTTGACTCTCTCCGCCTGCTTGAACGCCCTGAGGGAAATAGAGGATGGGAGGAACACAAAACGTGGGCCAGTGGAGTTGGCTTCACCACAAGAGGGGCAGCAGTCAAAGGAACGAAAGTGCCTGCCTGAAGAGGTTGGCCGCCATAATAGCATGTCTACAGAGCACAGTGCACATACCATTTCAGCCGCTTGGTTTCAAGCACCAGGTCAACCCGCCTGCCCTGCTGGCGTAGTCTAGCTGCCAGCGAGGCAGCTGCACCATTCAGTGATTGGTCGAGAGGCACAATAATGTCATCAACTGTTGGTTGGAGTGCTGGCAATAGGCCCCTCTGCTTCAAAAGCTGTGAAGGGGGAAACAAAGGAACGACAGAAGATGCATAACGGGTTGAGAATCAAGGGATTGGTGGGGAAAAACAAGTGCAAACTCCAACCACACCATCATAACCATGCTCTTCGTCCATCGTGTCCTGTACAGTAGGCATCTATCTCTTTTCCACTCTTTCTCCAACGCCGCTACCACCTGCTTACCTCCACAATGACAGCATCGCCGAAGCCGAAGCCGCAAGCAGGTGTGTCAGCGGCAGCCCCAAATGTGGAGAGCAGGCGGTCATACCGCCCACCCCCACAGATGGCCTCAGCTCGCCCGCCCTGTCAAACGCCTGCCATGCAGGCAGGGATGCGTGATGGGTGAGGGGGGAAAGAGGAGAAAGTGGGTGAGGGGAAGGAGGGGTTCGATTGACACATGCATGCGATCTTTGAGCTGGGCGTGCTCCAAATTCAAACAAGCCAACCCCAAACACAGTGCCGGGGCGGCACGCACCTCAAAGACGGTGCCGGTGTAGTAGGCCAGGCCGCGCACCACAGAGGCATCAAACTCGAGCCAGTCCGCAAAGCCGTGCGCCTCCGCCAGGACGAAGAGCCGCTCCAAATCGCCCACCGCTGCACTGCCGCTCTCGGGCACCCCGCTAGCTGCCAAGTGCTCTGCACAGCAGGGGATAGGGGTATCGTCCAGTGGAGTGAGGAGATAAGTGAGAACACAGGGAGAAGAGAAGGGGAGGGAGAGAAGGGGGCATGCAGAGTGAGAGGAACGGAGGAGATGCGCCAGAAATGAAGCTCCCACAGAGAACAGCTGATCCTACCCTGAACCATAAACCCGAAATCCTACCTCGTAGTTGCTGCAGCGATGTGATCTTCATGGTGCCCAGGATGGCCGTGCTGCTGTCTCGCTCACCCCCAGCTCCGCCAGTTCCTTCCCACCGCCCCCTCCCCGATCTTGTCCCTCTGGCCGCACACACACACAGATGAGAGGAGAGGTGACGGAGTGCAGGCAGGGATGTGAAGTGAGTGACAATAGAGGCGCGGTGGGGTTGCGGTGGATGATGGGGGGAGAATGCAGCAGAGAAGACAGAACTACAGGTGTGCATGAGGAAAACGTGCGCTCACTCACCTTGTCTACGATCACGCAGACTGCTGCGAACTTGTCAGCGGGCACACCACTGCCGTCCACCACCTCTTGCAGCACCTGCCAGTTGAGACGCGAGGGGCGGGCATGGGGAGAGGGCACACACAGGCACTTCAGACAGACGAACAGGCGTACAGAGGGGAAAGTGATGAAGAGTGATTCAACGCGGTGCTAAGAGGTGCACACACACAGTGCCTACGAGGGTGCATGCTCATGCAGGGAGTGCAGCGGCGCACCTTGCGGTTGGAGACTCGAATGCCCACGTCCTTGGAGGAGAGCCCCACGCGTGTGAAGAACGCCACCACCGCTGCCAGCAGCTCTGCTTCCGCCTGAAGCGGCGCGACTCGCGAGGGAGGAGGAGGAGGGGGGGAGTGAGGACGAGAGAACGAGAGAGGGAGAGAGAACGGCCTTGTGCCTCTGAAAGGCACGTGTTTTGGCAGCAACTCTGCTTCCGCCAGGGCGAGACGGTGGAATCAGAGCGAAGACGAAAGGGTGAAAGGGCGACGCAGAGGAGGGACGAGTCGAGGAGGACACTGAGGCGGTGGGGAAGAGGCTGGGAGGTGGGAGACAGAGCAAGACAGAGCATGGCCGGGCTGCTGACCACGACCAGCTAATGTGAGTGAGAGCGGGGTCATGGGGCGAACACTCTTGCACGTTTGAGCGACTCACCTCGACGCCCGGCACGCCCAGAACGTCCATGTTCCACTGGTAGTGCTCCCTGCGCCTGCCACGTGTCATGCGCTCGTAGCGCCAGCACTGCCCAATCGCAAACCACTTCACCGGCAGCGGGAGCGACTTGCTGGTCGGAGCATTGGGGTGGTTGGGAACCAGGGGGGGGGCGTGGAGAGGGACAGAGGGAGGGGGGGCTCAGCCCCTGTGCGAGCAGGCTTCGCTGATTCACTCAACGGGCCCAGTGGTGGGGCGATCAGGCAACAACGCCAGGGGGTGAGCAGAGTATGCCCAGTACTCCCTCCCTGCTAGGCACACAGTCCACCCAGGGGGCGCGCAGAGGCTCACCCTTTTTGCAGCACGAGGCGTGCCAGCGACGGCGTGAGCTCGGGACGCAGAGCACTCGCCGCCCGCCCTTGTCCTCAAAGTTGTACAGCTGCACGCACAAGGGAGGGAGGGGGCCGGGAGTTCAAGTTGAGGAGTGAAAAGTGGAGTTTTGAGGCGCCTCAAAACTGGGTTACATGTGGGCGAGGGTAAGGAGGGAGACAGTGCGTAGGGAGAGAAGGGCACAGGCGCTACCTCCTCCCGCTTTCCCTCTTCTCCCCACGCTCTTTCTCCGCGTGTCTCTGCTGTGTCATTCCCCTCGTCTCTCTCCCCCCCCCCTGTGTCTCACCTGCTGTGTGATCTCCTCGCCCGCCTTGCGCACGAACAGCTCTTCCGACTCCAGCACGGGGTAGTCCACCTCCTCGAACCCGAACAACGTCGACACCTGTGGTCACAGACACACGGGCATCCAGAGAAGTCACGACACTTTTTGGTGTGCTGCTTGGTTTTAAGATTTTCTGCAAAGCTCTTCCGACTCCAGCACGGGGTAGCCCACCTCCTCGAACCAGAATAACTGCGACACCTGCAGTGAGACTGCGTGCGAGCCACGATGAGAGCCACGTGATGCGAGCCGTGTGCGACGATGAAACGACAGAGTGGTGCGACGCACTTTCAACGCGCCTCAAGAACCGGCTCCAGCACGGGGTGGCCACTCCTTGAGCAAAAAGACTAGCGACACCTGCGCTCGCGCGCATGCAGGCACCGCTTCACTCGTTTGCTTTTGAGTCGACTCAAAAGCACCGCTCCACTCGTTTCGGAAACCAGCCCAACGAGATTCTGACATCCCACTCGGAAATCACTGTCCGTTACAGTCACGCTACTGATAAGAACGGAACGACCTGTCTACCCGGCGACCTGTCTGAAGTGGCCGAACAGCCAGTTGCGCAGCCGCATGTCGTCTGGGGGGAAGTCACGCGTGCCACGTGGCGGGCTCACGTCGATCATCTCCGCCTTGCCTCCCGCACCTCCCGCCTTCCCCGCCGCCGGCGGGCCCGCCGCTGACGGTCCGCGCGAAGCGGCCTTCTTCTCCGCCTTTTCCGCTTTCTCCTCCGCGACTGCCGGCGCATTTGACGCTGAGGCGCGCAGAGAGAGGCCGGGAGGTGAAGAATGGCGGGACTGACGGTCAGGGGTGATCCTTGGGATTGCCTACAGTAGCTTCCTGGAAGGATCGCTTGCGTGCATGTCCGGCAGATAGCTGTAGAAAGGCTTTGAAACGGAGAGATGGAGGAATGCATGTGGGAGGTGGTACTCTGACGGCTATTGGCTTGGCGAACGCAGTGGACGATCGACGGCTGACGGCATCGGAGCACGGTCTGTGTGAGAGATGCCGTCGCCATGGCGACGAGCCGCTGCGACGCGTTGCTACAACGAGAGCTTCGTCGCGATGCCTGGATAAAGCCCAAAAGAACAGGGGAGCGTTATGATGAGGCGCAAGGAGCGAGAATCGAGAGTTGTAAGGGGGTGTCTGAAGTGAAACAAATTGTGATGTTCCAGGATGTCACAAGAAGGTACGGTATCTCAAGATTTCAAAACGTTTGGAGAGAAACAACTCTCGGTTCCGCGACGTCCCAAAACCTTACGCGTTACTAGACACCCCCTTATAGTACTATGGGGATGATGATTGGAAGGCAATGGTTGGGAGGGATGGAAATGTGTGGCTGGGAGGGCCGCCACGAGGATCTCGAGACCGGCCCAGCAGTTAGTAACATATGAGATGTAAGATCATTAATATAAGAAGTTCTTAACAATAGAATGAGGCAAAAACCGTCTAAGTCTTATCATTTCATTACGTTGAAACGTTTTTGTGAATCTCATTTTGAGTTCAGTCCTCAAAAAAATTGAAAGGGGAGTAGTTACCAGTTTTGTTAGCCTGTTTTACAGCTTTCCCCTCCATCCTGAAATGCTTGCTTTGGTGCACGATCTTCTAAGGGCTGCCTTAGTATTGTACTGTGTGAGGCTACAGGATGGCATCGTGACACAGAGCGTAGGGGGGCTTGTAGTACCATGAGTAAGACAACCACCACCTGTCTATGATGCTAAGGGGGAACCTCAAAGAGTCATTCAGCAAGAGACGAGTCTAAGTGCGTCATTGCATAACATCAAATGCCAACACTTTATGTCGTATAGCACAACACCGTCCCTTACACATATAAAGAGGTCCACACAGGGATACATCATACAACAGACAGATACTAGCGCGTCTATAGGAACTCAGATGCTTGAAGGGGCCTCAAAGCAACACATGGAGACACAGACAGATACACATGACAGCCATACGCCGTCTAGCAAGGCTGAATATACACAATCAGAATGGGTTCCGCCGTCGCATTCCCCAGGATCTGTAGGTACTACCGGTATAAATAAATATGCTTCACATTTAGACCACCATAACGATCTTCGGGTTGACGTCGGACGACGGCCGAGCGATAGCCACGTTGTCCTCTGCCACCTCAGCGGGAATCACGGCCACGGTGTTGTCGTTATCAGCGGGAACCACGGCGACCGTGTTGTCGTTATCAGCGGGAACCACGGCGACCGTGTTGTCGTTATCAGCGGGAACCACGGCGACCGTGTTGTCGTTATCAGCGGGAACCACGGCGACCGTGTTGTCGTTATCAGCGGGAACCACGGCGACCGTGTTGTCGTTATCAGCGGGAACCACGGCGACCGTGTTGTCGCTATCAGCGGGAACCACGGCGACCGTGTTGTCGTTATCAGCGGGAACCACGGCGACCGTGTTGTCGTTATCAGCGGGAACCACGGCGACCGTGTTGTCGTTATCAGCACCGGCGACCGTGTTGTCATTATCAGCGGAACCACGGCGACCGTGTTGTCGTTATCAGCGGAAACCACGGCGACCGTGTTGTCGTTATCAGCGGGAACCACGGCGACCGTGTTGTCGTTATCAGCGGGGATCACGGCGACCGTGTTGTCGTTATCAGCGGGGATCACGGCGACCGTGTTGTCGTTATCAGCGGGGATCACGGCGACCGTGTTGTCGTTGTCAGCGGGGATTGCGGCGACCGTGTTGTCGTCATCCTTGGGAATGACGGTGACGGAATTGTCGCTATCTACTGGCAGAGGACGACCAGCGTGGGAGAACGCGGCACCAGCGAAGAGGGCGAGAAAGAGAAAACTGCCTTGCTGGCCATGGCATCTGTCGCAAGGGTCAGAAGACCAAGTTGTGGCGATCTGCCTGGTGAAGGAATAGAATGCTCTGCCTGTCAGAGTGCTTCAGGAAAGTGGTCTGATCTGGAAGGGGGGAGACACAAGATGTGAGGACGGCGAGGGAAGGAATGTCACAAGGTGGAAACTCGCTGGGAGGGGAAATCTGCATTGAAGTTCGGAGCCTGGTGTTCACCTGGCACCTGAATCGACACCTGCGATCCGACCAGCGGAATTCCCGGTTACAATGCGCCTCTGATTTTCTCAGATGACTGGACACAGATAGCACCTGGATTCCAGAGTGTATCTGTAAAAAAATTATGAATAAAATAGGAAACAACAATTAGCAACCTAGCCACACACTATTATTACTCCCCAAAGTGGAAATGTGCACTCATATTACTAGAAAAGACGACTGGGAGAATCGATGGAGACGACATGATCCTCTCCAGCGCCATCCTCCTCATCGCTATCATCCGCCACTCTTTCAACGGAAGCAGAAGGAATTGGATGTAGTTCACGCATTGGCCCTCCCCGTGATTCCTTCCCTTGTGCATTCCCTAGGAACGCCTCTCCTTCTGGTGCACCAGGTTGGCGGTCAATAGGAATACCACTGGAAGACGATGGGGCGGAGGATGGCGGCCGATGTGGCGGCAGAAAAGCACGGGGAATCTTAGCCTTCTCCTTTCCTTCAGTGCCACCTTCCTTTAACACCCCATCAGCATTGCCACTGCCACCACCACCACCACTGCCACCACCACCACCGCCACCACCGCCACCACCACCACCGCCACCACCGCCATCGCTGCCAGGAGTTTGAGAAGCAGCTGCTGCATAAAGCGAAGGTAAGATCGCAGACAGAGACGTGCTGTGGGCCCCACCTCGAGCCAGCTGGCCCTGAGCTGCTGAGCTGGCATGGCCGCTGTGCATGGATTGTACAATATTAGGGTCGCTGGATTTGCGAGCGCTGGCACCTGATGACATGACAGCGCGAGTGGCCTTTGGTCCCCCGTGCAGCAGCTGCGAGTGGGAGGCGGCGAAGAGGGCTGTGGCAGGGGACGGGGAGGGGCTGACTCGCGCGGCGTGCAGGTTGTAGTGGCTGTGGTAGTGGGCGTGGAAGTGCGAGAAGTGCTGCTGCTGCGAGTGGTGGTGGGGCGACGTGTCCGTGGGCCTGCGCGGCCGTAGGTTGAGCTGGTGCCAGAGAGAGGGTGTGAAAAGCGGGTTCAGATAAGGGTTTGGGAATTTTGTAAAAGGTGATCAAGTGTAAACAGAAGACATACCAAGGAATAGCTTGCAGCAGGAGAGAGCAGCAACAGCACACAAGCGCAAGACACAGTGCTATCCAGAACTCTGAGACACTAGTAACTGAGAATTGGAAAAAAAACCAAAGTGCTTTTTCCGTTAATACAAAAAAACAGTGCAGAAGAAACGAGACTCATTGGAGTGTGATGTCTGCCTCCACTTCCTCATCGCTCTCACCTTGCTGCCGAACACGCTGAGCTCCATGGCCCGCTCCATGAGCGTCTGGTCCACTGCAGCCCGGTCCCTCAGTGCCGCCGCCAGCTCACTGCCCCGCGGCATCGTCATCTCACTCTCAGTCAAATCCCCAAACCCGCCCCCGCCCTCCTCGCCTCGCCCCGCCCCACTCCCCCCGGCAGCATGCTCCCCCACCCCCATGGCTGCGAGCAGCGCGTCGTTGAGGGTGCTCTCCTCCGCGCCCTCCGCTCCGAAGCGCAGCAGCCCGTCGTGGTCACGCACGGCCTGCGGGCGGTGCACGTGGAACGACCTGATTGGCCGGCGAGAGAGAGAGGGGAGAAGGGGAGGACGGAACGAGCAGGTGATTGCAGATAATGTAGCACGCGCATTCGAGAGCGAGGGCAGCAGCAAGCTGCCATGCAACAAAGCAACAAGAAGACCAAGCTACGGTAGGTGCCAGTTGCTCATACAAACGTGCCTGCAACACGTGTGCGGATCCGCTGTCGGCAGCACGCACCTGGTGGGCGTGTTTTGGATGGACATGATGTCGCGCGGCATGTGGATGACAAGCAGCTTGCAGAGGGAGAGCGTGGAGTAGCGCCCCTGCAGCATGGCCGAGCTGTCGCCGTACCCTGACCTATCAGTGGCTGCGCAGGGAGAGAGCACGAGAGGGATATGGTACCACAGGAAAGATGCAGGATCCTTGCTGCTCACGTACACTCAAGCCTCTGACCCCATTTCAGCAAACCAGTGCAGCAGTGGCGGCAGCAGCACTGCTGCACTCACCTGGGCCTGCCAGTGGCTGGGCAGTGAGTATCGCGGGAGCATCGATGGCCACGAGCACCCCGTTCTCCACCCGTCCATTCGACCCGCCTCCACCACCCTCCCCACTGCTCTTCCGCTCGCCTTCTTCTCCTTCCCCGTCCCCACTGTCCCCCCCCAGCAGCCTGTCGCCCTCCTCTGGTATCGCCTCTTGCACCCCCCCTGCATCCGACACCCCGTCCCCCTCGACCTGCTCTCTGCCTGCAGCTGATGCAGCAGCGGCGCCAGAACCAGGGAGAGAAAGGGCAGACCCAGAGGCACGGAGAAAGGAGGGGTCAGCGGGCCCGCACGGAGCCGAGCAGCAGCACAGCGACTTGTGAGGGCAGCAGGTCGAGCGTGTCCCCAGGGCGGCAGGTGAGGAGGTGTGCGGAGTCGGTGAGCAGCACGCGCAGCTCGTGCATGGAGAGAGCTCCAAACTCCTCTGGCTGCAGCACCCGCACCACCTCCAGACAGCTCTCCTGGTGCGGGGGGAGGGGGAGAGGGGGCGAGAACAGGGGGAGAGAGGGCACAAGAGCAGGAGAGTTGCAAGAGAAGGAGAACGGATGGGAGCAGAGAGCCGGGAAGATACAGATGCCATGCAGCACTCTCCCACTCGCCTTACGCACACACCTTCCGCAGGAAGTCCTAGAACGCTGCCCCACGCCCCCCCCTTCACCTTCCACAGGAAATCCCCGATGGCGTCGCTGCTGTCCCGCGCAGCAAGAATTCTCTGCCTGTCGATGAAGAAGCAGTGCAGCACGCTGTCCGCCACCACGGAGCTCATGTACGCGCAACCCCTCAGCGTCTCGTACAGCCCCACCGAGCTGCCATGCGCAAACAGCGGCGGGATGAACCGGTGCCCGTGCGCCTCCGCCTCCGCCTCTGCCCGCTTTGACGTCCACTGCAGTAGGTGCATGGGGTGCATGGGGTGCAGTTGGTGCATGGGATGCATGGGGTGCATGGGGTGCAGTTGGTGCATGGGGTGCATGGGGTGCATGGGGTGCAGTTGGTGCATGGGGTGCATGGGATGCATGGGGTGCATGGGGTGCAGTTGGTGTATGGGGTGCAGTTGGTGCATGGGATGCATGGGGTGCATGGGGTGCAGTTGGTGCATGGGGTGCATGGGTGCAGTTGGTGCATGGGATGCATGGGGTGCATGGGTGCATGGGGTGCAGTTGGTGCATGGGATGCATGGGGTGCAGTTGGTGCATGGGATGCATGGGTGCAGTTGGTGCATGGGGTGCATGGGGTGCATGGGGTGCATGGGATGCATGGGGTGCATGGGGTGCAGTTGGTGCATGGGTGCATGGGGTGCATGGGGTGCATGGGGTGCAGTTGGTGCATGGGTGCTGGGTGCATGGGGTGCATGGGTCATGGCATGGGGTGCATGGTATGGGGTGCAGTTGGTGCATGGGGTGCATGGGGTGCATGGGGTGCAGTTGGTGCATGGGGTGCAGTTGGTGCATGGGGTGCATTGGGGTGCATGGGGGTTGCAGTTGGTGCATGGGGTGCATGGGGTGCATGGGGTGCAGTTGGTGCATGGGGTGCATGGGGTGCATGGGGTGCATGGGGTGCATGGGGTGCATGGGGTGCAGTTGGTGCATGGGGTGCATGGGGTGCATGGGGTGCATGGGGTGCATGGGGTGCATGGGGTGCAGTTGGTGCATGGGGTGCACGGGGTAAGAGAGGGACATTTGGAGAGGAGAGGGGCAAGGTGATTAGATGGATGCACGGACGGATGGGTGGAGGTAACGGAATAGGGCTGGGAAGGCAGACATAGAGTGAGAAGGAGAGCCGTGGTTACCTTGGCGGTGCCGGAGGCTATGAGCCAGACGCCCTCGGCGGGCTGCCCCTCTTGGAAGAGCGTGGAGTCGGAGAGCTTGGTGGCCTCCTTGAGCGGCTGCAGCAGGGCCAGCGGATGTCTGCCGGCAGCGCGCCGATCAGCGGCTGCCGCGCCAACACCTCCCCCGCCGGCAGCATGGCCACAAAGGGCGGGCTGCGCTGCAGCTTCTTCAGATCCACCTGCACTGCGCGGTGCAGGTGCACCACCTCCTTCTGGTCCAGCAGCCCCGAGTGGTCGAGGTTCTCCACGTACCCGTGCAGGCCCTGTAGGATGGCGTGCGTGACCTGCTTGGTCTTGATGATCGTGAGCACCTCCGGGAAGTTGAGCCGCATGTCCTCCATAAACTTCTTGGCGGGGTGCTCCTCCTCCTCGCTCTCCAGAATGACCGCCTCCGATATCGGACTGTCCTCTGCGGGTTCGGAAGGGGGGTTTGGCGTGGGGGATAGCAACGGCGGAAAGAAGGGATGAATCAAACGATGGCCTTGAGGCATGCACGGTTCAAGATTGATGGTGAGTCACCAATGCGACATGCTTGCTAATGACCGATGCCAACGTGCTAACTGTCCACTCACTCAGGAAGTCCCTCATCTGCTGGCGAGCGTGCCTCAGCGCGCGGATGTACGCAGCAGCCATGGAGGCGGCCAGCTCCAGGCGGTCCACGGTGACCCAGTTGAGGGCGCGCTGCGGCAGCACCTTCCTCAGCCGCCGGTGGATGACCCGCAGGTAGCGCGGCATGCGCACGTGCGGCTCCAGAGCGGGCCAGAGCAGCAGGCGGTGCTGCTGCGTGGTGTGGTCGGTGGCCTCGGCCACGGCCTGCATGAGCAGCATGGCGGCCGTCTGGTTGACACGCCCCTCCTCCAGCATGCTCCAGTACGCCGCCTGCACGCCTGAGCAGGGTGAAGGGAAGGGGGGGTCCGGCATGGGGAGTGGAGGAGGGGATGTGAAGACGTGAGAGCAGAGGAATGGGAGGAGGGAACGAAACGCAGTGGCAAGTCCCGATGTGGCACGTGACGCTTGGGATGCAGCCGAGTGAGCCAAGTGGACAAGACAACGCATGAAGCAAAGGCATGCCCTGCCCCCCCCATGGCATATGCGTGCACGTAGAGTATGGGGGCACGCACCATTGAGGAACCTGAGCCGCGTGTCGTGCAGCTGCTGCTCCCTCAGCTGCTCGTGCGACTGGCTGTGGTCGTGCGGGTGGCTCTTCATCACCCCCACGCCCGACCCTCCGCCCGAACCTGCTCCCGAGCCTCCGAATCTGCTCAGGAAGGCGCTGGCAGACAGTGTCCCGTGGGAGGAGGGCTGCTTGAGGCACGTGAGGTACTCGTTGACGGTGGCCCAGTCCGCGGGCCCCAGCTCCTCGTCGTCGCCAATCTCCTCAAACGTCTTGACGGCATACCCGCACAGCTCCTGCCGCGTGAAGTTGAGCACGCGCTTCTGAGAGGGGTGGGAGCAATGTGGGTGGGACGAGGGATGGGCAGGAGAGGGGGGAAGATGGGGAAGGAGGGGGCGTGAGAGTGAGGTGGGGGGGAGAAGGTCGGACAAAGAGAGAGGCATGGGGACAGTGGGCGAAGACGGCGGAGAAACGGGAGGAAGAGAGTAAAGAATGAGAGTGGAGGCGAGAGGAAATGCTACGCAGTTCAAGCGTGAAGCAACCAATTTTAGGTGGAAGTAGTTCACAAGCGACACACCTTGATGTCGGAGGTGCTGTTCATCTTGAGCGCGGCCAGCAGGAACTGCGTGGTGGAGCCGTTCACTATGAGCGTGAGGAAGACCACGCCGCCCGTCAGGAACATGAACTGAAACGCGTGCACGGATAGAGAGAGAGAGAGAGGGCGACAGCATGAGGGCCACATGCAGAGTTGCCTGACACCGCCTGGCGATCGTGAATTGTGAGCTCTGAAGTAGTAGCTCGGATTGTAGGATGTAAATTGCAAAAATTAAACTGCATAACATGAGTGAAAAAATGTCTGGCAAACTGCGTGTGCACGTTAAAATGCTGCTCATGAATGCTGAAGAACACATTGTCAAGTAAGGAGGGAGGGCGAAGAGTTACCCTGGCTTCTGTTTCTTTGGTGATGTGCTCTGATACTGGCTCGTGCTGTGACATGGTAGCAAGGGAGGAGGGGTCAGAGTGCCATAGTTAGTGAATCGACAGACATCGCAAGAAGGACATGGAGGACAAGGGAAATAGCATCGAACTTGGCTCCATGGCGTCAAACTTGAGGAGGAAAATCAGAAACAGAGAGACAACAACACGCCCACCCGCCCAAGCCCCCCAGTGAAGCGCACGACTCACGCTGACAAGGAGTGCGAGAGTGAGGGCAACGGCGCCCCTGAGCCCCGACCACACGAGGATGATGGCCTCCTTCCAGGACAGCCCGTAGCCGCTGGAGGCGAGGCCGGGGTACAGCACCCCCACCACCACCACGCGCGACAGCTGCACGAAGACGTACAGCAGGAACATGTAGCCCCAGTCCACGCCTGGAGCGGTGGGAGGGACCAACCACGGAATTGGCAGAACGTAAGAGTCGAACCAACGTATCAACTCAGGTAGCAGCAGCAGCAGTGGCATCAGCAGCAGCAGCAAGCAGGCAGAGGAGAGCACGACTGGAGTGGAGGGACAGCGCAGAGAGAAGCCGAACCAACTCAAGCAGAAAAGCTGAATCTGAAAAAACTCAAACGACATCGAGCAGCAAAAACTCCGTAGAATGACTGTTAAGGTAGGGGGACCAAGAAGGAGAAGCAGAATTCCAAGAAACGGGTGACAGCAGGTAGCTGAGTCTTGCGTGAGTCATGCAGACGAAAGGGACGAGGACTGCACCTTTGATGTAGTTGGAGTTCGCTAGAATGCTCTCTGAGATGACCACTCCACTGCCAGCAGGAGCAAAGAAAGGTACGGGGCATGTGGGGGCATGAGCCACATTCAACTTATGTCGGCCACCTGAGGTGACTGCGAATATGAGGTGACGGGGGATATGAGGTGACGGGGGATATGAGGTGACGGGGGATATGAGGTGACGACAACAGCCACCTGAAGCCAAATGGCTGAACCTGATGCCACCTGAATGAACCTGACGCCACCTGAATGAACCACTGGATCACCTGAGCACGAATATGAGCGTGTTGGCGATGTACGAAACCATCTCCCTGCACGCAAGAAAGCAGAGAACAAGTTGAGTCGTGATTATGCTCTAATGTCAACGAAGGTGAGAGAGGAAACCCAGCTGCACAGCGTGAGTACCAAATGAACACCCTTCCATCACCACTTCTCGTCCCTTCTGAGTCAGCTCAGTACGCGCATAAAGAAACTCTCTTACCCCCCTCCCCCTACCAGAAATGGTGCATGCCCTGCTCGCTCCCCCTACCAGACGTGGTGCATGCCCTGCTCGCTCCTGCTACCAGACGTGGTGCATGCCCTGCTCGCTCCCCCTACCAGACGTGGTGCATGCCCTGCTCGCTCCCCCTACCAGACGTGGTGCATGCCCTGCTCGCTCCCCCTACCAGACGTGGTGCATGCCCTGCTCGCTCCCCCTACCAGACGTGGTGCATGCCCTGCTCGCTCCCCCTACCAGACGTGGTGCATGCCCTGCTCGCTCCCCCTACCAGACGTGGTGCATGCCCTGCTCGCTCCCCCTACCAGACGTGGTGCATGCCCTGCTCGCTCCCCCTACCAGACGTGGTGCATGCCCTGCTCGCTCCCCCTACCAGACGTGGTGCATGCCCTGCTCGCTCCCCCTACCAGACGTGGTGCATGCCCTGCTCGCTCCCCCTACCAGAAGTGGTGCATGCTCTGCTCGCTTTCCCCTGTGAAGGCAGTCTTGGCGAAGATGGCAAACATGCTGCCAGGGGGAAAGGAGAGGGGAGAAGGGGAAGATGGCGAAGTGAGGGGGGGAGAGACTTGCATGAGGTGAAAAAAAGTCCCCAGGACAGGCTCGACTTAGAGAAATCAAATGGGTTACAAGCTCACATAACGCTTAACCTTCACACATATACGACCTATGAGCTTGGATTGACCCTGGTTTAACCGCCAGAGTGAATTGCAACAGCCATGTGTGGATTCCGCAGAAACTTATGGAGTCCGTACTGTACGTTTGAAGAGCACGCACAGATGAAGGGCGACTCACATGCCGAGCGTCATGTCTGAGAGAACTCCTGATGTCTGGGCGACGTCATTGGCCTGCATGGGGACAAGGGAAACGAAAACGTTAGAGATCCAATGCACGGAAGAATTGCTCGAGGCATAGAGATGCAGGGGTGCACTCACGCACTTGTGCATGCACAGAATGCGCTCAGAGCATCATGCACGGAATGCGCTGCGCTGGATGGATGTGCTGGACCCCAAGTGGTGCGCTGCACTGACCCCAAGTGGTGCGCTGCACTCACCACAAAGAATGCCATGTAGGAGGCGGTGAGGCTGATGGTGATCTCGATGACGTGGTCGCTGAAGATGGTGCGCAGCCACAGCAGACTCACAACGCCGAACGCCATACCCAGCCCCACCCTGCGCACGTGGCAATGCGCGCATGGCAGCCCAGCAGCACCACACAAAGACGAAAGAAACAGGTGGAAGGGGAGAGGAGGCGGTGAAAGGCGAGATTAATTGGTGGAAGGGGAGAGGAGGCGGTGAAAGACGAGATTAATTGGTGGAAGGGGAGAGGACGAAATGAAAGGCGAGAGAAGCTGGAGGAAGGGGAGAGGAGGCGGTGGAAGGCGGTCAAATTGAGTCCTTGCATCGGGCTCTTGCATTGGGCCCTTGCATCAGGATCTTGCATCGGTCCCTTGCATCGATCCCTTGCATCGGTCCCTTGCATCGGTCGAATGGAGTAGCGGCTGCAGGGAAACCAGTCGAATGGAGTCACGACTGCAAGGTGAGAGGTGGCAGGTAGGGCCGTTTTCTGCGGAAGTTGGGTCATTCACTCTGAAGGTAGGGCGATTCCTGAAGAGGATAGGGCTCCTTTGAGGCTGGACCATTGCTTTCTAGTCAGTGCATGCATGCAGCACCCAAAGGCGGCACGCGCACGTGGCACTCACCCTCCGAGCGTGACCTTGAAGAGGAAGCCGATGACATCCCCGATGCCGTAGCTGTACCCCAGCGTCAGGCGCAGGAACAGCTGGAACACCACTATGGCCGTGCTGAAGAGGGGGGGTGATGGAGGGTTGGCGGGAGGGGGGGAGGGGGGGAGGAGGTGGGGAGAAGAAGTGAGAGAAAGCACAGGATAGGTGCAGGAGACGGGATACGATGCGGGCGACATTGGGCGTGCAGATCATCTGAGGGCACGCCAAGAGCGAGTGCAGCCATGTTCATCCGTGAACTCATCCATCGCGCACCCACCTCTCATGCCACCATCAGCCACACCTCACCCCTCGGTCCACCATTCACCCACACGCCTCGTCCACCATTCACCCTCACCCGCCCTTCATGCTCCCCTCACCCGTCGTTCATCCGCCCACCCCTCACCCGTCGTTCATCCGCCCACCCCTCACCCGTCGTTCATGAGCGCCTCGCCGTCAATGATGGTGCTGAGCTTCTTGGACGCGCCCAGGTCGCGCAGCAGCGCCACCACGGCCACGGGGTCCGTGGCGCTGAGCAGCCCGCCCAGCAGCATGGCAGTGCTCCAATTCCACCCGTACGGCAGCACGTACTGGCGCACAGGGGGCGGGAACGCACGGGAGCAGGTGGACAATGGGAAGGAGGAGAACCACTTGGGAATGGCAAAAGGGTTGCACTTATCAGCAGCCCGCCCAGCAGCATGGCTGGGCTCCAGTTCCACCCGTAGGGCAGCACGTACTGCCAGGCAACAAGTGGAGGGTAACAGGGTAAGGGGGAGGATGAACGAAAGCCCTCAACTCGGCCTTACAGTGACTGGGAACCTGAGGAGAAAAGACTCCAATTCCTCGCCCCTTCTCTCAACTCTACTTCCTCGTTGCACTTACTCGGCTGATGAGTCCGAGGAAGCCAGTGGAGATGGCGACGCCAGGCACTGCCAGCAGAAACATCTGCACCAGGCAGCGCTGCTCATGAGGGAAGGGGGAGAGGGGAAGGCGGGGTTGTAGAGGAAGATGAGAGAGGGGACGATGTATTTTGAGTCGACTCAAAATACACCTGAAGATGAGAGAGGGGCCGATGACTGAGGGAAGGCAGGAAGGACAGGCGCCTCTACAGGAACGACATTGCGAGGCAGCAGAATTGGGCGTCAGAGTTGCCTCAGGTGACTCAGCTGACTTACCTTGACCTGGTGGAACTCGAAGGAGAAGGCGCTCTCGAACAGGAGCGCCGGCAGAAAGACGTAGAGCACCAGCTCCGGGTCAATGTTGGCCCCTGCACTCACTCATGCCCATGCGCACGCATGCGGATTTGCAGGATGCGCACAGAGATGCCTTATGAACGACGAATTTCAAGAAATCTGTGTCGTAAATGGTCGGGGGATCTTGCGACACAAACGTGTCAAATGTGAGGTGAAGAGCCATGCGGGATGCCTGGTGCGGGTTGGAGAAGCTTACACATGCGAATGCTTTCTCCCAGCAGGCCGAGGTTGACATAGAACTCTGCACACCCACAATCACGAACACCACGTCAGCCAACGTCAGCCAGCGATCACAGAGATGACTACACTCATCGACGGTCTATGGGCGATGCGAAAACGGTGAAACTCTCCGGGGAACTATGTCCCGCAGTTAAAGCCTCCACTGGTGAATACGCTGTCCAACGAAATGCCGCGGTCACACAGAATGACGTGTAAATTACGGCCATCACAAGTTTGAACCTACCGCGATCACCAGGAGTGACGTCTGAACCTACCGCGATCACCAAAAATGGCGTCTTAAGCTACCGCAACCATCAAATATGGCTGATTCGACTTCATAGGAACGACTCCGCCTGCGACCTAAAGCGCCGCGAACCGCGTCCACACCCACCCATAGCGCCGAGGCCGACTCCGACGAGCAGCAGCGCGACGGTGTAGGGGATGCGCGTGTTGCTCAGCACCTGGCGGCACAGCGCGCCGAGCGCCAGCGACACGCCGATGAACACGAGCGCTACCTCGGGACCCGAGGAATGCGCCGGCTCCTGCTGCGCCGTGTCGGTGGTGTTCGTCATGTCCAGGCGCTAACGGCGCGCTTCACAGCAAGGAGGTGCTATCGCTGGAGTTAAGAGTCAATCGCTTGGGAATAACGTCGTTGCGTAGGACTGAAGGGTCAGCAAAACTTGGCGTATGCTGATTCTATCAACCTAACTCCAATGTCGCTTCTGCTCCTGTTCCGTCACCGGTCGAGGGGAATAAGCACGCTGATTCAGTCCACACACGTACGACGCCAATTCGTACCGACACTTAACTAAACACGACCTCTACCTCCAGTCCCTAGTGGTGCTGCTCAATATTGCCACTGATCGTCATGTTCAAGCACTCGCGATTGACAAGGATCTTGCGTCATCTGATCACGAGCTTCGCAACCTTCCAAGCGTCACATGTTAAACTCCAACTCAGCTCCTGAGGTAAGCAGACCGCGGCAAGCTATATATGCTTATTACACACGGCCAAACTTAGCAGCGAAACGATGACTTTACAAACAAATCCGTCGAAACTATGGCTATCCGTTGAAAGATCAGCTACTCTCAGCCTCCAAACGTTCCTCGGCTTCAAAGTCTGCTGGTTGATTCGCCTTATGCTCGGAACTGCTCGAAAGTGCTAAAAGAGCACGCGGGAATGGAACACGGAACACGGATGCCTAGTACGGCGAGTGGATAGCGTGCACTTGACGGCAACAAATATCGAGAATGCTACGGCCGACCTTCGACGGAGTGGAGCTGGAGAGACGAGAACGGCTGCGAGCCTAAGAAGCAAGCGCCGGGATGTCCGCGCGCGCATACGAACGGAGCTCTTGAGGTGGTGGATGTACGCAATGCGGTCTGTGTGACGCTGGTTTTACATGAGGGTGAGATGAGAATGAAGGCAGTAGCCAGGTGCCTGTGCCAGGTATTGCCTGCCTCGTCTTAGGGAATCTCTAGGCTTTACTTGCATTGCAGTAATTCCCCAGCCGCGTAGCATGAAAGATGCTTTCACCCGCTGATCATGAATCTGCAACATGACAACTAGCATAACACTTCACCAACACTACACGCTCGCACCATTGGTCTTATGAAATCAATACCATACGCTACAAATCCGTTGCATTGAATTTGTCAACAAAGCATAACCAGTGCTATTGGCCATAAATCTAACATTATTGTTCAACTATTTAAATATTTTAAATGTTTTTCCACAATCCTTTCACCACCCATCCTTGGGCTGGTCTTATTTCAACCATGGACCTCCATCCATCCATGTCCACCATCATCCACCCGAACCCCACGTTCCACCAAGGCTCGGCCTCAACGCCAACCATGCCCACCAGGCACGGATTGGTATCAGTGGCAGAATGCCAACAATGCCCACCAGGCATGGAGTGGTATCAGAGGCAGAATGCCAACAATGCCCACCAGGCATGGACTGGCATCAGTGGCAGAATGCCAACAATGCCCACCCAGCATGGACTGGCATCAGTGGCAGAACGCCATCCATGCCCACCCAGCATGGACTGGCATCAGTGGCAGAATGCCATCCATGCCCACCCAGCATGGACTGGCATTGAAACCACACAGGCAGAGGCAAGATTCAAGCATCAGCATTGCTAGTCCCAAGGCGTGCGGGTGCCCTTCGCAGGACTGATTCTGCCTCCCCCCCCCCTCGCCAGGTGACAGAGCTGCTGCAGCCAGCTCTGCACTGACAGAATCAGTCCGGTCCGGCCCGGAGTCAAGTTCTTAGCCAATGCTGGCGCTTGCACCCCACACTCGTGCACTGGCCACCTCACATGCCACATGCCACCCTTCCACTTGCCACTGCCACAGTACCCACTGCCTTCCACTTGCCACAACCACACTCTTCCCACTGCCATGTTGCCCACTCCACAGCGAGGCACGTGTTGGGGGAGGAAGGCAAGATAGAGAGATGTTAGTGCAGGCCCTTGGAAGGAAGCACGGAAGGAAGGAAGCAAGGAAGCAGCAACTGTCAAAAAGTGAACGAAAGCAGCAGGTGCAGCAGCAAGGTGGGAGGCATGGAGGTGAGACTTACTGGTGGTGGAGGGAGAAGACGCCCCTGCCAGTGCTGCCGGCAGGCACATTCACGCCGCCAGCCCGTTGCTGGTGCTCCTTGCACCCCGCCAGCAAGAACACAGCAACCGTTCACCCCACAGCACCAAGGGTGCTGTAAGGCCTTGGTGCTCCTTGAGACTTGGGCGTGCAGGAGTGTGAGAAGAGACACCTGCCAGCCAAGGGGGACAGCAGGGTAAAACGAGAGTTAGTACAAGGGACCAACGGAAGAGGAGTTGGTGATGATGGGAAATGGTGGTGTGAGGATGAGATGGGGCATGGTGCAGCGCCAACCGTGGCCTCCACTTGAGCCGAGTACCATTCTAAACCTCAACCTCAACACTTACCCCAACCTCTACCTGTACCAGGGGGGAAGGCTCTTGTGGAGGGTGGCTGGCATGCTACCAAGGGCGGGGTTGAGATGACAAGTGCATGGAGCATGATGCTCTGCTGAAAGAACTCTGATGCTAAGCAAAAACTGAATGGGAGAAAGCGAGGGCTGAGGGTGCGACTTATCTGGCAAAGCAGGAGGGCGGAAGCGCGCTGCACACTTGAGCATGTGGAAGGCTGCTGCAGATCTGAGCGCGGAAAGGCGTTGCAGACTTGAGCATGGAAGCAACCCCAGCAGAGAACCTGCCAGTCAATGAGGGGCGGGGAGGAGGAGGGAGTTAGTGTGAAGCAATGATGGTATTGAAGAGGCGATGATAAAATGATGGTGATGGTGATGGTGATGGTGTGAGGTTGACAGGGGGGAAGGCGCACTGCCTAGGCACACCCTCCACTTGAGCCAAGTACCAATCTATACCTTTACCTCAACGTCTACCTCTACCTGTACCAGGGGGAAAGGCTCTTGTGGAGGGTGGCTGGCACGCTACCACGGGCGGGGAGTGAGATGATAGTGCATGGAGCATGTGCTGTGCAGTAAAATTTTAGAAGCTGCAACGGCGAAAGCGAGGGCTGAGGGTGCGAACTTATCTGGAAAAGCTGGAGGTGGAAGCACGCTGCAGACTTAGAGCGTGTGGAAGGCGGCTGCAGAGCTGAGCACGGGAAAGGCGTTGCAGACTTGAGCACGGAAGCGCCCCAGCAGGGAACCTGCCAGTCAAGGAGGGCGGATGGGGGGGGGCGGGGGGGCGGAGGAAGAAGAGGAGGGAGGGGGGGGGGGGGTTGTGTTAGTGTGACGCGATGATGATATTGAAGAGGCGATGGTGATGGTGATGGTGTGAGGATGACAGGGGGGAAGGCGCACCACCTAAACACACCCTCCACTTGAGCCAAGTACCAATCTATACCTTTACCTCAACCTCTATCTCTACCAGGGGGAAGGCTCTTGTAGAGGGTGGTTGGCATGCTACCAAGGGCGGGATGAGATGATAGTGCATGGAGCATGATGCTGTGGAGTAAAAAACGGATACTGAACGAAAGAAATCAAGGGCTGATGATGCGAACTTATCTGGTAAAGCTGGAGTGTGGAAGTGCGCTGCAGACTTGAGCGTGTGGACGTCTGCTGCAGAGCTGAGCGCGGAAAGGCATTGCAGACTTGAGCACGGAAGCGCCTCAGAAGAGAACCTGCCAGACAAGGAGAAGAGAAGGGGGGGGGGGAGGAGAGTTAGTAAGAAGTGATGATGATTTTCATCATACTGAACAGGCTATGTTGGTGATGGTGTGGGATGAGATGGGGCATGGTGCAGCGGCAACCACAGCCTCCACTTGAGCCGAGTACCATTCTATACCTCAACCTCAGCACTTACCTCAACCTCTACATGTACCAGGGAGGAAGGCTGTTGTGGAGGGTGGCTGGCATGCTACCAAGGGCGGGGATGAGATGATAAGTGCATGGAGCATGATGCTGTGCTGAAAGAACTCAAGAAAGCGAGGGCTAAGGGTGCGAACTTATCTGGCAAAGCTGGAGCGTGGATGGCACGCTGCAGGCGTGTGGAAGGGCGTTGCAGAGTTGAGAACAGAGGCGCCTCGAACCTGCCAATCAAAGAGCGTGGGGGGGGAGGGGGGGGGGGGAAGGAGTAAGTGTAATGGTGCTCTTCATACTGAGAGGTGATGATGATGGTGATAGTGATGGATGGTCATGGTGTGAAGTGCTGATGTGAGGATGAGATAGGGCATGGCGCACTGCCTACCAACCTTACCTGAAACTTACCCTTAACCTCATACGTACCAACCTGAACCTCTACCAAGGGGAATGGCTTGTGGAGGGCGGCTGGCATGCAACCAAGGGCGGGGATGAGATGACCGTGCATGGAGCATGAGATGGTTGTGGAGTGAAATTTCAGTTGCTGAGAGGCATGCTGGATCGAAAACGAGGGGGCGAAGGCACGGGCTGAGGGTGGAACTTATCTGGCAATGCTGGAGTGCGGAGGGTGCTGCAGACCTCAGCGTGGCAGGGCGCTGAAGACTTGAGCGCGGCAGGGGTTAGGGCCTCGGTGCTCCTTGGTGTCTTGGGCGTGCAGAAGCGAACCTGTCAGGAGGAAACGAAGCTAAGTCAGTAACAGGCGGTGAATCACACTTGCAAAGAAAACTTGACGTTGCAAAGGCAAGAAATGGAATGGATGACCTTTCGCAGCACCACAGGAGCCATGTACCATACCTAAGTACCTCGGGGAGACCTGTACCAAACCTGAACCTGTACCGAACCTGAACCAGGGTGGGGGAGGCTCTCTGTGGAGTGTGAAGGCTGAGCGATACTTCAACCTTCGTCAGCCGTAGGTGGTCGCGTTGCTCCTCTGCTCCCAGCCCGCTAGCTGCGCGTCCGCTTGGCACAAGGCGGCCTGGGTTGGGAGGGACGGGTGGGGCGGGGAAATGAGTTAAAAGCTAGCAGAGCGTAGGTGGTCCAAGCAAGCAAGCATGAAAACAAAAATTCAAATGATGAGCGGATGATATTATGCGCATGAATGAAACCAGCCAAAGGCGATCACACAACGGATCTCAGACACTGGCAGACACGTACGCTGACACTGGACGCATAGCAACGGCGCGACAATCTAGAAGACGCTAACCCGGACTTAAGGAAGAGAGACAAGGGAGATCCGCAGGTGAGCCTTCTGCTGGAATCAAGCATGGATGTGATGCATGGTGAAAGACGCCAAGTCGGACAGGCAAGGGTGCGGTTACGTATCTGTACGCATGTGCAGAACGCGAAGTAGTGGACTCGCAGACAGCGGAATCGTAGAAGTCGCAGCCAGCGAAGTCGTCGAAGTCGCAAGGGAGATTGTCGAAGTCGCAACCAGCAAAATCGTTTTAGTCGCAGCCATTGAAATCGTCGACGTTGAACTGTGAAGGCTCGACCAGCCGCAGGCGTAGTAGTGTTGTCGCCTTCCGCGACTTCCTGGAGCATTTCGTGCCTGCAAACACAAAAGCAACGCGAAAATTAGAAAATGGTATGGCTTGGAATGAAAAAGTTTCGCTGCATAAATAGAGTTGAAAGCTTACTTCGGAATGGTAATCGCGATATCGTCGAAGACGTCATGAGCGAAATGGTTGAACTTGCATCCGTAGACGAGCTGCAGCCACGTGGTGTTGGTGCAGCCTTTCTTGCAACAAGAAGAGTATCGTTTCTGCAAGTTAACAGAGCACAGGAAGAATCAGCAGCTGGTCATATTGTACGCGTTAAAAAAAGGTTCACGGCTAAAAAAGATATGTACGCGTACCTTTTAAAATATAAGAAGATGCAGCGATAAACCGTCGAAACAACTGGAAAAGCAGTTGCCGATGGCTGAAGTCGTTGTCAGCGAACAGCTGAAACTGCAGCGAGCGAAATCGTCGAAGCTCTCAAGCAAGTGAAAGATTGGAGTTGCAGCAGACGTAGCAATGTCGTTGCAGCCTACTCGACTTGTATGCACGCGGACGAAGCTGACTCGCGACGAGGTGAGAAATCGGTGGATGGCTAGAAACTGGTCGAGTCAACCAATCTAAATCAGTTTGGCAAAAATGCCGAGGAGGCTGGACAACACGGTAAAGTATGCGTCGAGCGGACGGGCCTGGTCTAAATCTGAAGAGACACTGGGCAGCGTGTTTGCACATTCGCGGGCTTCCAACGGTAACGACGACTTGGACGGGAACAAAATTCTACGGTCGAATTTCGGCCTCGTTGGATTCAATGGTGGTCCCCAACATGCCAGCATGGAACATGGTGGATCGACGGAACTGGTGGCTAAACGAAAACCCGCTTTCTGATTGGACAGCTTTGAAACAAAAATCACATCCGCAATCAAAAGTATCCTCCTGCTACCTATATCCTGGTCCACGTAGGCTGATTGAATGGCCAGAAAACATCCGGGGGGACTAAAATAACTCGGATCCACTCAAAACCTAGTGACGTGTACATGAGGACACACGATTTGAATAAGGACCGGAAAACCAATCGGTGAGGCTCGGTTCCCGAAGCGTGCTGCTGAGCGGCTCTTTAGTTAGAGCGGCAGAAGGGGGGGTTGGAGGGAACTCGAACAGATATATTATCAGCTGCTGTCACAAACGCTGGCACAGGGAGGCAGGCAGAGGGGGAAGAAAATGGTCGCCGAGGCATGAGGGGCTCGAAGGAGAACCCCAACCTGTGCGACATCAGTTACAGCCTGGCGATAACAAAATTGAGTTCGCAATCGTTACAGCCGTCGCAATAGCCTCAAGCGAACTACACTTCACAGCCCATTGCAATGGAATATGTAAAGCGAGTATTACACAAATCTTGATATTCCGAAACCATGAGGCGGATTCCCCTGGAATAGATCAGGTAGATCATTGTACGCTACGTGCGGTCAATGGATCAAGGTTGTGAATTCAATTTGTACGTGATACACCCAACCAAGTCTATTCCCAACCATAATGACAAGGGTACACTGAAAGAGCGCTATTCAGCCCTGTATGTTTGAACTTGCACCCTTGGCTTCCCTCTTCCCCTCCTCCTCCTCCCCTGAGCTGGGCCACAGATCTCCCCACTTCACCTTCCTCGCAAACCGGTACTCCACGCGCCCAGCAGCCTTGGAGAAGAGCAGCCGCTGCAGCTCGCCCCTGCGCCCCTGCCGTCCACGGCTGCGCAAACGTCCACTATCACATGCTGCCCCCGCCGCCTCGGCTCACGGATCACTCTGCTCCACTCGGGGCTCAGGTTGGCAAACCGATCGCCACGTGGCGGGTTGTCAGTGGCTAGTGAGGGGTCCACGGAATCGTCTTCCAGGTCATCAATGCTGCTGTCACCGGCGGTTTCATCACCTGTACTGCCTCCACCCACCTACCCCCATCGCTAGCAGAGGCGACAGGAGTGTGCTTTGGTCGAACGTCATCCTCTTCTTCCTCATCCTCATCTCCCCACTCCTCTTCCTCCTCCTCCTCCTCCTCCTCCTCCTCCTCCTCCTCCTCCTCCTCCTCCTCCTCCTCCTCCTCCTCCTCCTCCTCCTCCTCCGCCGCCGTCCCCTCCTCTCCCTCAGCTGCCTCCTCTCCATCTTGGTGCCCCCCTCGCTGCTGTCCTCCTGCCTCTGCGCTCACCGGCTCCTCCTCCAGGGGTATCAGGCGCACCGTCGGCCCCCACTTGGCTGTTGCGGGGACACGCGGGTGGTCGGGGCAGGGGAGGAGATGAGTGGATGGGGGTGGGCAGCTCCTTAGACATCTTTCCAGTGAGCGCGGCGTCAGTAGACAGGTTAGCAAGTCGGAAAAAAACAGTAAACTAAGAAGTGCTTATGTAAACGTGAGAGACATGATGGGGCTGTAGGTGGATGGGCATGATGGGGCTGTAGGTGAATGGGGCATGATGGGGCTGTAGGTGAATGGCATGATGGGGCTGTAGGTGAATGGGCATGATGGGGCTGTAGGTGAATGGGCATGATGGGCTGTACTGTGCATGTGCCTGATAAGTTCCATCATCTCATGCTGCTCAACCACAGCCCCATCACCGTTCTGAACCTCTTCTCACCTTGCTTCTTTGCCAGCCGCTTGGCCTCCTTCTCAGCCTCCTCCCTCTCCTCCCTGTTCCTTCTCCTCGCGCCGGAAGTGCGTATCTGCTGCAGCGGCGCCACCACCCTGCCACCCACAACAATGTGATTGGCGGGGTAGAAAAATAAAGAAGTAGTTGCTGGCCAGTCAACAATATGAAACCGATGCAGGCAGCAGCATACCATATGTGCACCACCTAAACCCCGGGTGTCAGCTCATGTGCCCTGCGAAAGCTTTTCACGCACAAACCGTGCACACACCACCACCCTGACTCACTCGGGCCTCACGCCTCGCCTGAGCACCACGTATGAGAACTTCTCCTCCTCCGTGCTGCCCGTTATCGGCTGCCCTGCCGCCCGCTGTGCGAATGGGTGAGAGAGAAAGAGGGGTAGGAGACAAAGGAGAAGGTGAGGGGATATGGTGTAGGGGGAAAGAAACAGGAGATGAGGAGGCTGAGCGAGAGAAGAAAGCCCATAGGCACTGCCATACAGCATCGCCTATTTAGGGTTTAGGGA